CATGTATGCATCGACTTCTTTAAAGGGATGTACTAAATATATAAAGGAAAATGTTTGTAAATAAAAAAAAGATGCGATATATCCTACAGCAATGAGAAGTAAAAAACAAAAAAAACAAACAAAAAAACAAACAAAAAACAAACAAACTAAAAAAAGAACAGAACATATTAACATAACCTTTATAGAAATGCAAAGGTCAATATATGATTTAAGATAACCAACTAGTTTTGATAATAAAAACACGTGTATTGTGTACGTTAGACGCGCATTCCGTCTCCAGAAGACTCATCTGTGTGGCTCGAATAAACAAAGTTACAAAGCAAAATCAAGTACTAAGTTCAAAAGCGTTGAGGACCGAAATATTCCGAAAAGTTTTGCCATATACAGCTTAGGTTATCTATTCCTGAATATATATGACTGAACAGTATTTGTTTAAACAAACCCAAAACAATCTATTTATTATAACCAGGTAGTATGGGCCCACCAGGAAAGAAAGGAAAAGACGGTAAGTATAACATTGATACTAAAATGGTAGAAGGATAATGATGTAGCACTCGTTCGACATAAGCGACATAAAACAATACTTATGGTATAGAACCACTAATTCGGGCCCGGTCAGAAAGAACATACAAGAAAGTAGTACATATTTTACACAAAATAGTTCCTACGCATAGCTGTATCTTTGTCAATAGTTGTAATATTTGGGTAGTTTTGGTATCAAATGAAAGCTTGGGGACTTGGAATCATTGTAGAACCCTTGTTGAAAGTTTCTGATGAATAATAAAAAAGTATGTAGAATTATAATAGAAGGGCACATTTGCCCTGTTGTTCAGATCAGAAGTACCCGTTTTTGTACTATCAAACTTCCGGGAACCAGTTCGCTCTAATATGCAATTAAAGGTATGTTGAATTTTTCAGCACAAGTCAAGATAAGGTATAGTTTAGACATGAAATGACTGCCACTTTATTTAAACTTAAGACAAATAGCCATTAATGCTTGAAATTGCAGAATGTAACATAGAAAGCAATGGGGCTATGAATTAGTGGTTTTATACCTTATATACCCGCTCCATTCATTAATCTCCTTAATATTATGAAATTTAGGCTTCATTATAAAAATTATGAGTGAAAAGAAATGAATGTCTCGTTTAAGATAGACTGGGGTTTATACGCAGACTCAACATGTTCTAAGATAGTTATTATGTTTTTGAATGTCCTTTAATTTCATTACTCTACTTTCCATGATAAGATAATTTAATTGATGCACTTACTCTACAGTAACAGTTTGTCTCCAGTTATTAATAAAATATGTTAATCTTTTTAAACAAGTGACGTTTTTAATTCCTTATAGGATATAACGGCATACCAGGCGCAAACGGTGAGTATTTTTCCTATCATTTATGACCAATGTAGATAATTCATATTAAAAATCAGTTAACTGGTTTCTGTTAGAATATCATAAAATATCAAACCAGGTGCAAGCAGCATTATCAAAGCAGTTGACACATGAGCAACCCCGAACGACTGTGACAACCGAATGTGCATCTTCAGTAGTCCTATGATTATCATATGATTACAGATATTTTTCCACTGTATGCACATTTTGATAGCGAAATCAACATTTGATTAGTTCAGACTATGCCACGTGACATTGAACAAAACTTTATGTTCCTCTCTGACTATCGTATTACCTCCTGAACATCGGGACTTTATCGCGAAATGTCACGCGCGGTTATTCATTGTCCGATACAACGCGCGGTTAATGTACAAATGTATATACTATTTTGAACATTTTTAAATATCGTCAATATAGTCATTATCGTATTCAAAATGATTTCGGACGTGCAAAAAAGAAAAACACATAGAAAGTTATTTTGATCGGCGATGATTTCTAAATAAATGTTAGTTAGTTCCAGAGTAATTTCACTTTGTAAAAACTATGCAATTTTACCTATTTCTCAAGATAGCTGTCGTATACTTTCACGTATCCTGTCATTCTGTTTTTTTGGTGGATTACATAATAGTCGTTCATGAGTAATGGGGCTTTAATTGAAAAGCAAACTAAGCTAAGTGTAAAGGCTAAAGTTAACTCAAGTTTGTATTTACCGAATCATATGAAACATTTTGAAATTAACGAACGAGTATTTTCTCTTTTTGTTCGTTCTTTACCGACCAGATGGATGATTTTGACTTGTTAAGTAAGAACAAAAATAATATATTTCTAAAAATTTAGTTTTTAAGAAAAGTATCCCTCATCTGCATGCATTTTTGAATTTAACGAACTGGGGATCTAGGCAATTTGTTTAATATTATAAGTACAAATTTAACTTTTGTGAAATCATATGTTCGAAGTACCGGTTTAGAAACCGAAGAATGATAAAATAATTTTAGTATGATTATGTGGAAACATAATCGTGATTACAGTTAATACAAAAAAGGTAAAGAAAGCTTTTTAAAGATCTACAACCTAAACATGATTAAAAGCATTAGACTAAAAGAGAGGCGGAAGATACCAAACGGATATTTTCGAGTCTCTTTGGTATTATTGTCCAAAAAAGACAATTCATACCTATAAAATGCCAAAGTCCTTTTTCGTATATCTAAACTAGGAGATGGTGATATCCTTACATGTTTAAAGCTTGTGAGACTTTTCTTTATACCAGACTACAGTTTTATTTAAATTGTAAGTCGATATTATGCAAAAGCATTCAGTATTGGATATGACCGAATTTGAAAACAGCTGAAAGATTCGGGATGGAGTGCTTGCATCTGTAGAATTATTGATTGGGAGCGAATCCATGGATTGGATACAGCTATACAAGCCCAAATAAAAATGCACGATGGCACAATATTAGTTTGATATAAAATCAACTAGTCTGAATTACATAGTTCAGCTGTCTCCAATATTGACAATTTTATTACAAATACATTAAAAAGAAAGATTTAGGGATTAGTTTTTACATTCTTATAACTATTAATAAATGGATAATTCACAACGTATTGCAACTCATTTGTCAATAAATCAAAATAAAAACAACAATTCTGCTTTGATGTTTTGCCAATAGATAGATGAGGAAAATTGTATAAATTTTGAATATTTTAGGTATGAAAGGTGAAACAGGTAATAAAGGTAAGTGTCTTTGTTTTAAAGCTAATATAAACCAAAACAAAGAATGCATTGTAATTACAAGAAATGAATATTAAGCATCAAACAAAATATTCGGTGAACTAACCGTTAAAAGGGCACATACAGTAAAATACATAGTCTTTATTTTGTCTAAATAAAGAAAACCGTAGAATAATAGACGCCATAATCATTTAAAAGCACACAATTTATCAATCACACTCGAAAAACGTTGTATTGTATCGACAAACTTTGGAAAATAGTCATAAAAATGTCCATATTTCTGAAAAGTCTATAATAACATTTCTACCTTGTGAACTAGAACGATAAGAATCTAGATCAGCGTGTCGGTCTAGTACAAAGCAGGGTTTATATTAATATTGTATTGCCATGTTCTCGTCCTTTAATTTTCTACTGGACGTTAAACAGCAATCTGTCTACCACCATCAACAAAATTAAATTAAGATTTTTAACTTTTCATTCATGTTTTATTTTAGGTCCACATGGTTGGCCAGGATCACCAGGTAAATGTTACTTATATTTTAGTACTTCTTTCTTTAACCAAAGTATTGTGTTTAAAAGAAGAAAAAAAATAGAATAAAATTATAAATAAATAAATAAGTGACGGTATTTAGATATGGCATCAGAAGATCAGAAGAGAAAAAAAAATATCAAAAAGTGGATTAAACTAGTAATTTTTGGGACCCTTTATACAGTGGAGATCACTTCTAACCTCTCATCAAATCTGTCAGAATCTGTCAGGAGAACTGTCCTAGGACAGTATGTAGCACTGTCATCCTGACACCTTTTAGACAGTTCTAGCTAGAACAGTTCTAACCTAGAACTGATTTGGTCAGTTCTACCTAGAACTGATTTAGACAGTTCTACCTAGAACTGATCCTGACAGTTCTACCCTAGAGCAGTTTAAGACAGTTCTACTTAGACCTGAACAAATCTTTGGTCAGTTCTACGACTAGAACATTTCTACGGCTAGAACAGTTCTACGACTAGAACAGTTCTACAATTAGAACTGATTTGGTCAGTTCTACGGCTAGAATTGACTTAGTCAGTTCTATCGATAGAACAGTTTTAAGAACTCTTTGTCTTAAATATAAATAAGTCAAAAGAAAATAATATATATTGAAAAATTGCAGTGACGTCATTTAGAACTGTTCTACAATCCTGACAGGTTTGGTCAGTTCTACGGCTAGTACAGTTTTAGACAGTTCTGCTGACAGTTCTACGGTAAGAACTGATTTAGTCAGTTCTGCTGACAGTTCTACGGTTAGAACTGATTTGGTCAGTTCTGCTCACAGTTCTACGACTAGAACTGATTTGCACAGTCCTACCTAGAACAGTTTTAGACAGTTCTACGCTAGAACTGATCCTGACAGTTCTACCTAGAACTGATTTGGTCAGTTCTACCTAGAACTGATTCTGACAGTTCTACCTAGAACTGATTCTGACAGTTCTACTTAGAACAGTTCTAGGGTAGAACTGTTCTAGGTAGAACTGTTCTAGGACAGTTTAGAACAGTTCTATGACAGATTATTCTGACAGTTCTAATGAGAGGTTAGAAGTGATTTCCACTGTAGCTTGCTGTTCGGTGTGAGCCAATGCTCCGTGTTGAAGGCCGTACCTTGACCTATAATGGTTTACTTTTATAAATTGTTACTTTGATGGAGAGTTGTCTCATTGGCACTCATACCACAATTCCTATATCTATAAACCTTTTTTTGTAAATGACATAGTTCAACTGAAGCTTGAAAAATCATACAGAAACAATATTAGCTTGTCGACATAATATATTACGTTTTAGAAATGCATTATAACAAACAAAATAATGAGTATATGTGGTTTTTTTTTCTTTCAGGCGAAAAAGGCAAAATGGGAACACCAGGTAAAAGAAAGAAAAATAAGGCAGGGAATATTGGAAACATAAGTATTTCGCTGAAGAATAAGGAAATAAATTGTAGCTAATATTTGGATTGTGGTCATTATTTATAGTTAAGGTTGTAGTTGGAAATGTAGATTTACTCAAATATAAACACATATACGAAAGTAATAACATAAACAGTGCCAATTTTACTGCACCAGATACACATTTCGACAATTAATAAAATTGAGAATGGAAACGGGGAATGTCGACCAAAGAGCAGAAGACAGCCCAAGGCCACCAACACAGCGAGAAACCCCCGCACCCGGAGGCGGGCTTCAGCTGGCCCCTTAACAAAATAATCTCTTCGGTGATGCCCGAGGCCAAAATAATTGAATATCCTTAAAATAATACAAATGTTGAAGAGCTAAACGAACTAAAAAAGGGATCTAAAGTATAACCAAATCAGGACAAGGAATCAGAGCTTTACATGAGGGAGATGTATTCCTTAATTCAAAATGATTTTCTAAATTTTTTAACAGCAAATTTCGATCAACACAATATAAGTATTCGATATAAATCGATAGAACAAAGACAAGTTTAACTTGAGAGATGAAATAAACAAGATAAGTTATACATACGCACGAAATTCAAAGTGTTGAGATCAGATAAATGTTAGACAGGACGGTTGTTACAGGTTAACACATGAGATATAAAATATACATGTAATCGTTCACTCGTATTATCACCATTTGTGTTTCTAATCTTAAAACAACGTGATGAGTGCTTAGTGATTATATAATATTTTTTACAGGTACACATGGTTGGCCTGGAATGAAAGGTAAATATATTGTACATATAATTCTGTTTTAGATCTTCAAACAAAGTTTACAAAAATAATTTCACCGTTTTTCAATTTAGATAAGTTTATTCGTGAAATTTAATATCTTTAATAAACGCAAAATATATCGAATGCATTTTTTTTCAAAGGAACAATTAGGGTATAAAGGACAATAAAAGTTAGACATGTATTATGAACAACCAACATTGCTAAACATTATGATTTCCTATATACATTCTATGTTTTCAGGTAAAATGGGAGAAATGGGATTACCAGGAGCACCTGGAAAACATGGTGAGAAATTACGTAATACAATGCAGGAAATAAAAACAAATCGATCACAACGTTTTTGATGCCTTTGAAGCAATTGCATTCTTTCAATGCTATTTTCCAAATGATATTGAGTTCGAAGATTCATCAAATGAGGAGAGTAAATTCCGATGGGAAGCAATCTAAAACCATAGTCTTTGAAAAAAGACAACACCACAGTTTAAAAAGAAATGACAAAAAGACAAACAGCAGTCCAAAAAACACTAACAAATACACTAAAGATTGCACAACAAGAACCAAAACACATATCGGCGATGAATTTCTGAGTATAAGTAGTTCTTGTTCCATTTCTGACACCCGCACTGGTGCACCTATTAAAATGTGTCCATCATACTAGAGCAGATGCCTCTTGCCAAGCCTTACAACATTACAAAATTAATAAACGCTCAGTACTTGTAGTCCGCTCGCAAATCGGATATGGAAGTTTGAAATGAAAATAGGATCTGCTAGGTAAAACGATAAACAAGACTTTTACCAAAATGTCAACTCAGACATTGAAAACTAAAATAGTTCTTCCTCATCTAGAGGCACCCACATCTGTTGCAATACGCAGATACAACATTGGTGGTAAGTTGCCTTCGGGGATGTGTCAATCGAGGACGAGAGAATGAGATTGTGGCTACGATAGGTGGAATAAATCTGTGGACTTATGTGAAGTTTTTCATTAGCTGCTTTGTAAGCAGCAACTCTCTATCAAGGAAATCATGATAGGAATGTTGTATAAATGTCGAAAGGGAAATGAAAATTGATGTTTAACACAAAACTTCCAAAACCAATTAAATATGTATTAAATGAGCTCTTTTTCTAAAAAAAAGTACATAATACATTTTTGAAATCTTGTTTTCGATCCTCCTCAACGTCATAACAATTTTGCATTGTGCTTCTAATGTGTCTTATGTAGACGAAACGTATTTGTGTTTAATGTATATATTTGTAACAACAAGTACATGTATTTTAAATACGCATTGCTTTACAGGTTGGCCTGGTGGTCCCGGTAAAAAAGGAGAAATGGGAGACAAAGGATTACCTGGACATAATGGTATTCCAGGAATGAATGGGATGAAAGGTAGTGGCAATATTTAAATGATACATTTTTGAAATGTATAGATATTGAAAACGTGTTATTTTCAAAAATTTAAATCAATATATTTCCCAATGGATGATTACAATTTTGGTGAACAGCTTTTTAGTGATTGCTTTTGACAAATTTTTATAAAACATTAGTGTTAATATACATGACAGCAGTATATCAAGCAAAACAGCCTCTAAATAAAAAAAAAAAAAAAGATCAACATATTTACGTATACATTATTCAACTTAAATTACAATAAATAACGTTTATTTTAGATAAGAAAGTACCTTTACTTATTGAGTTATTGTTTTATTACCTTCAGGCAAACCTGGCATGCCTGGTATAGACGGGAAACCAGGTATACCAGGATATAATGGCAAACCTGGTAAGAAAGGAGCGATGGGAGATCCTGGAATTAGAGGTCCAATGGGATATCCAGGAGTTAAAGGTTTGAATCAGACAATCATTATTTCCTCATTTGACGTTTCAACATTTAACGGACTATGGGATTGGGCGACCGACATTTTCACGAATTTGGTTTGTGACGGGTATTACGTTTTTTTGCGAATTTATCTGTAACTTACATGAGTTTTTGCCTGTGTTTCATCCTGATAAATATATAATCAGAGAAGTCTTAATTCGTTGAACTGAATGTTGCCTTTTTCTGTGCGTTTCACAAGATGGGGTATGGATTCCGCGTATTTTAGTATACGCAGTCGCGATATTCAGTATAATTTGCTTTCTTTCCCATTAACTTTTATCACGTTCACGATTGTGCCCATTTCTCCCCTGAACAAACTGACTTAACATTCGCAATCAGTTCTTAACCGATATTTACATATTTGATTTCTTGGTTCATCTCAAGGAAATGTCTCCACTTTTTAATTTTCAACTCTATATATCTACACGTAAAGTTTAACTTTCAAATATTAAGGTCTTTAAAAAAATCATTGATTTGAAAATCGATGTTCACCTTGTCGTTTCATTTCATGTAGTACTTAGTAACTGTTGAACAGGTTAATTTGGCGCAACGTAATGTGGTTTTTGCGCAAACGGTCAAAAATATTAGCGCCATTGTATGAAAAATTCGGGCAAACGTAACGCTCCGATGAGATTATTTCATTTTTCATTCCTTAAACGTCACAATCATTTATTGAATTTCCATTGTTTGGGGTTTTTTTTAACCATTCACAATGTTTTGGTGTACGTTTTTGATAATATTACTCAGAATACAAAAAAAATCTAAAACAGTTCAAGTATTGAAAACACCAGCAAAAATATTTTTTTTCTAATTTTTTTTTTATGATTTTGATTAAATCGTTGTTAGCACATTATCTTTACTAGGAATTATTTTTGTTTGGAAGTGTCAAACTCTGCTGACCTGTCCACAACACCTTAAACCTCACCCCTGATTGTAATTGGATTCGTGATACTAAGTCTTTATTTTTATATTAAGTATTTGTTAGACCGTTTTTCAGTGTGTTTCATTTTTGCAATACTGTTTCGATCTCATTTCGATTTATGAGTTTACATACTTTCTTTGGTAACTTCTGTCTCTTTTCTAAGAAAGCAACAAAAAAAAAATATCACATGCGCTGCTTCATTGCTTCACAATAATAACATTATCTTGAAGAAAAAAATAATTCTTTAATTTACTTTAAGTACAAGTAGGATGCTAAAAACTAACCCCATGTTTAGGAAGGAAAATATTAAAAAAAAACCCAAAAAAACAGCAGATCATGAACAAGGCCAACAAAATGCATATATCATGTATATTCAGACAAATAAAAATAAACACATAAAACATTAAGAGACAGAACACATATCTTTTGAGTAATACGAGCAGCCACCAAAATCGAAACTTTAATGGGAAATCAAAGTCGATTTCGCTTCACACATTATTTCAGTTAAATTGTTGAATGTGTGTTTGCGCATCGTTGACCATTTGAAAGAATTGCCCTGCCATACACATATACCTTTTTTTTTAAATCATAGCATAGTATTATCTTTACGCCTTTATTCATGAATATTATCTCTCTTACTGTCACAGTATTTACGCGGAGACCGGTAAACGGATATTTACGACAGTAAAACTACCGAAGGACGTCCACAAAGCTTCAAATACAATACAGTTATCTCTATTTTAATGCAAAATAAACAAATCATTCAATTTTAGTTATTATTTCTTTGTAAAATTTTCATTTAACGAAAATTCCGCGAAATGATGTTATCTTCTTTGGCGCCTAAACTATGTGACTTCAAAGGTATGCTTCCGGCGTCAAACGTAAACACGGGGCGTTTTCTGGCTTCTTGTCCGCCTCAAAATGTAATAAAACTTGATAAAAAGAAGATTTCTATGCGCAAAATGTGAGGTTTTTTTTGGCGTTTTATTGGAGAAATTACATGTCAGTACATTCCAGAATTCAAAATGTCGGGAGATAGAGGATTTTACGCTTATTGTCATCCAATCAAAACCAGCGATACAAAATACAAAATAATTGCATTAGAATATGAAATATCATATCTTCATTATAATACTATCATACTTATGATTTGAGTGATTAGCACTATCATACTAACAACCATTTTAATTCATACACATGAAAAATATATCATGTTTGTTTTTTATTCTTTATATATGTTATATATTAGAATATGAGCTGTTTTTTAAACAAGTAAGTTACGAAATACGATTATTCTTGTCATAGGTGGACCAGGTAACAAGGGACCAGTAGGATGGCCGGGTCCAAAAGGGCCACCTGGTATGAAAGGGAAACCGGGTGATCCCGGAAGAGACGGATATCCAGGACTACCAGGTGATTTTAATAACTTCTTGGATATGTTTTTTAGTTTCTGGTATTGACACATGAAAACTATATATATCTGATTCATCTTAGTTTTAAGACTGATTAAGGACTACAATACGACAAAATAACAGGGACTATCTAGCAAGATATTTCTATAGCCAATAATGAGATAGGCTGAATAGCTCCTGAAAACGATCAAGTGGATTTTGTTTAGGGGCCAGCTGAAGCCCGCCTCCGGGTGCGGGATTTTCTCGCTGTGTTGAAAACCCATTGGTGGACTTCGGCTGTTTTCTGCTCTTTGGTCGGGTTGTTGTCTCTTTGACACATTCCCCATTTCCATTCTCAATTTTATTTGATACCAATTTTAGAATCATATACCTTGTATTTACTGTATATGCAGTTTTACGGCATTAAGAGAGAGGCGAAAGATACCAAAGGGACATTCAAACCCACAAGTCGAAAATAAACTGACAACGCCATGACTACAAAAGAAAAAGACCAACAGACAACAACAGTACGCAAAACACAACATAGAAAACTAAAGACTGAGCTACACGAACCTCACAAAAAACTGGGGGTGATCTCAGGAGCTACGGAAGGGTAGGCAGATCCTGCTCCAGATGTGGCATCCGTCGTGTTGCTCATGTTAGTACAAACCCGCTGATAAGTCTAATTCGGTAGTCACATTCGGGGAAAAGGGGGACGGGATGGTAAATATGACAATTGGAACATATCACGATACTTGACACAATAAGTTGAAAGGCAACTGTCTATTTTGTATGACACAATCCGCATAATAACAGAATCCGATGTATATTTTGATTAATGAAAACCAATTAAATTCAGGAAAATTGAAATTAGCATATTTGTGGTGTTTATTCATCTTGTGTTATTTTGAATGAAGGATTATGTTTTCTCTTAAATTAAAATTAAATGACAAAATATAGTATATAGTATTATGTTTACTGCAGAACCTTAAAAAAAACTTTTCATTTGAAATCGGATTAAGTTTTTAAATGCTATTTGTAAGGTGAAACTGAATATGAGGATTAATGCAGAAGATAAAAAAAGAATTGTTTTAAGCATTCACATTTTTTTTAAATTTGAATTAATTGAAACGTAAATAAAAAAATTCAAAACGGCTGATGATACCCGGATTTGTTTTGTTTTTTCTAATTTCTAAACTTTTAAAACGATAACTAACTTGGGTAGAAAAGCAATGACGTTTTATTAATTTTTTTTTCATTTACAGGAAAGAAAGGAATGGATGGCGCTGATGGAAAACCTGGTGGTAAAGGACCAGTCGGGTGGCCTGGACCTAAAGGACCACCAGGCATGCCGGGAAAACCGGGCAAGGACGGTATGTATTCAAAATCTTTAAGGAATGAGTGTTATATTTTTCTGTCTATGAAGAAATAACTTCAATGAAATGCACACTTATGCAGGTTATTTAAAAGTGTGCACCACATTTTTAATTTCGAATAGACAGAAAAAATATTACAGGCATTCCTAACAATTTAATTCCAAATTCCATTTTTAAGGAGTAAGTCATGAGAAAAACGTTGATGACGTCAGGGTCACATGACAAAATTATGTCTATGAGCTGATGGTCAAAAAACTATCAGCCAATCAAAAAACGTGTTACATCCAAAATTAAATTATTAATGAAAGAAACAAACTTAAAAGTCAATGGTAGATAATATATTAATTCTTATAAAGTATTTCAGCTGATATTTATAGGAAAAACTTCAATTATGGAAATTCAAGTGCCATGCAAAAATTATTAAAACATAAAATTAATATCAATGCAAATGTCTGAAAGAGTACACTACAAAACATCATTTTATAAACGCATTTTTAATATCGAAACATAGGAAATTTGGTAAATTAACAGATCAAATGGAGAGGTGATCACAGTGTTGATGTAATAGTCGTCCTTTAGAACATTTAAGGAATGACTGTAATATTTTTTCTGTCTATGAAGAAATAACATCAAAAATGTGGTGCACACTGAATAACCCGCGTAGCGGGTTATTTTAAAGTGTGCACCACATTTTTTATGTTATTTCGAATAGACAGAAAAAATATTACAGTCATTTCTTATAATTTAATTCTAAATTCCATTTTAAACCAGAGTAAACCAAGAAAAAACGTTGATGACGTCATGGTCACATGACAAAATTATGTCTATGAGCTGATAAACAAAACAACGTCAGCCAATCAGAAGACGCGTTACATCCAAAATTAAATTATTTATGGGATAAAGCGTATTTTTAATTGTTAGTTACAAAAAATGAAAATAACGTTATGACATTGGTGGTATTTTTTAAATATTTAGGACGTTTTTAACCAATCACACATTTTGTTGTATGTCACCTTCTGAATTTCCCATGTATAGGGCGTTTTTAACCAATTACACATTTTGTTGTATGTCACCTTCTGAATTTTCAATGTTAAGGGCGTTTTTAACCATTCACACATTTTGTTGTATGTCACCTACTGAATTTCCAATGTTTAGGGCGTTTTTACCAATCACACATTTTGTTGTATGTCACCTACTGAATTCCCAATGTTAAGGACGTTTTTAACCAATCACACATTTTGTTGTATGTTACTCAGTATGCAGAAGTTTTTTAAGAGGAGAATTGTATAAAAACGATGGAATGAATGAAATTCTTCATATAAATTTGAAGAGGGTTTGATAAAAAAATGAAGGCAGATAATAAGATGGGATACTTTTACAAGCTCCTCTTTTGAAAAGATGATTCCACTTTTCGATTTTGCTAATTATCGAACCCATCCGTGGTTTCGTGGAGTGGAATTCTAAATTCAGATTAATTTGAAATTAAGACGCTATCCTGTCGATATCAAAGATATGACGAACAGATTGATGGACAGGTCAAAACACTTCTTCACGGTATATTATGTCACGGTGTGTTATGTCGAAGTTTATTATTTTATGCAGATTTGTGCAGTTTTAATCTATTGTATGCCACATTGAATAATTGTTTAAACAACCTTTAACATTACGACAATATCACCACAGGTCATTGCGCTATGCAATTACGGTAAATATATGTCATTATAACTATACATCATAAATGCATGTTTAGAGGGCCAATTTATATGCTTTTGATAACACTATAAATGTTCTCTTTAAACATGCATTTGAACAACATTGTTGTTACTAAAACATCCCCCTGTTTTTTCTTCTAACTCGTGATAATGTAACGTTTAAACGATGTTTTCTTTTCATTGACAGGATATGTCCATGTTGTATTTGATAACTATGGTAGCAAATATAAGCTTGGACCTTCACGTAAGTCAGTTTTTGCAGATATAATATATTCATCTATACATCACATGAATAGTGATCCTAGAACAATTGAAGCAACCTAAGTATCCAACATCATAGTACCTATATTTACCGTTCCGAAGCACCTGATATCATCCCCGGTGTTGCTCAATCTTTAGTTTCTATGCTGTGTTTTTTAGACTGTTATTTGTCTTTAGGTTGGTTTTTTTTGTTTTTGCAACGGCATTGTTAGTTTGTCGTCGACTAATGAGTTTGACAACTTGGTTTCTTCCGTCTCTTATTTGTAAAGAGAAACTTTTAAGTTCATTGAAAGTGACAACATTTTTTTTTCTTTTATTCCTACAGCAATGTCTTGTCAAATACACGTTTGATTAAAATTTGACTATCGTTCTCCAGCAGTATTTTGTCCTTCTGTAGGTCATTTCAAGTGATGCTTTAGTTGTTTCTTTAACTAAACAACGCACACGAGGCATTGTGGGTCGGTGACTGAATTGAATTAAAAAGTATATTAAAGACGTGTATTAGCATCTGATGAAGTTACGCAGTGAATGAGACTGACAATTTACTCTGCTTGGAATAGCATTCTGTCAGAATTGTATCCTGTTAATTGTCTGTCCTGCGACGAAAGTCGTGGAAAACGAGACATAGGAATTGCTTTTACGACGACGGCTCCGGCATCAACAATTGTTAAATTTTCTTCTTAAATATGTTTGATAGGATCTACTTTCGACTATTTTGAGACCCTGCCCCCTAGGACATGGTCCAGTGGCTTTGAATTATTTAGCAATTTTCGATGTTAAGTTTTCTGCTTCAGTTAGTTTAATAGGATTGATTGATTGATTGTTGGTTGCTTAACGTCCAGTGGCAAATATTTCATGCATATTCAGGACGAAGTTTAGTAGGATCTTCTTGTGATAGATCAATGATATTTTGTATGAAGTCGCATTACTATCAGTACATATCTGTTTGACGACTATTTTGAGGCCCTGCCATGTAGGACATGGTCCAGTGACATTGAATTAATAAGCAATTTTTAATGTTAAGTTTTCTTCTTAAGTTAGTTTGTTAGGATCTACGTGTGATAGATCAATGATATGTTGTATGAAGTCGCATTACTATCAGTACATATCAGTTTGATAAAATTGAGAATGGAAATGGAAAATGCGTCAAAGAGACAGATAAATATCCCTTAAGTAATGAACATAGAGAAGTTCTATGAAGTCGCATTGCTATCAATACTATTTTGAGGCCCTGCTCCCTAGGTCGTGGTCCAGTGGCTTTAAATTAATTAGCAATGTTCTATGTTAAGTTTCTCTGCTTAAGTCAGTTTGATAAGAACTACTTGTGATAGATCAATAATATTTTGTATAACGTTGCATTACTATCAGTACATATCAGTTTGACGACTATTTTGAGGCCCTGCCCCCTATGACATGACTTTGAATTAATTAGCAATTCTCAATGCTAAGTTTGTATGCTTAAGTTATATCGATAGGAACTACTAGTACTTACAATAAACAACGATATTTTCTATAAAGTTACATTACTGTCTGTACATCTCAGTATGTCGACCATTTTCAGGCTCTACCTACTAGATCATCTTCCAATGACTGAATCAATAAGCAATGTTGCTGTCCATCAGATTGTCTTTTTTTGAATTTTATGCCGATAGGCCAGACAAGTCTCTGTGTCAACAGTTTGTTCTTAAGTGGATCTTACTATCGAAGTTTTACTATGAGCTGCTAGACGGGTGTAAGAATTGAGCTTTCTAGAAATCGTTTATCCTTCAGAAGAAATTAATTTTGTGTCTAGTTTTATTGGGGTACATGCATGTTTACCTCTTGTCATCCCTTAAGTTTTCAAAGAAAGTGCGAACATATTGTAATGGATGTGTCCATAATTAAAAGTTACCTGTTCACGTTATTGAACCTTCACCAATAGTAGGGTTACATACTAATCACAATGTCCGTCTAATAATGAATTAATTAGTGTGTATACAGGGCAATTATATTTCAAGGTCTACATCAAACAGATACAGTATGTTTTGTAAACCATTTAGCCTGAGTTTATATAGAGGTTACTCGATAAAACCATTTATTTATTGTATTGCCAAATATTTACTTGCCATGAGTAACACGACGCATGAAGTCCTTACCATTCAGGACCACCTAATTTCAATCCCGGTTTATGTTGGGGTTCGTGATGCCGAAACTTAGGTTTTATGTTGACTTCTTTACAGATTAAGTACTCCATAGACTTACGGATAACGTGTATGAATAAAAGGAGATGTAGGTTATACATCATTAAGACGACTACCTTACCACGTAAATAAAAAAAAAGAAATCATAGATTTCCCAAAGTAAAGTCTTCAAAATTATGCAGGTGTCTACTCAATATGTGTGAACACAAAAATGCGGCGAGATTAATGAATTTTGTGTGATCTCAATCCCCCTTCCTCAATCTCGAAAAATTACAAAAAAGAGAATCATGTGTTAATAGAAACTACTGTTGCGTTACAGAAAAAGCAGCTATAAAACAGGAGCTGTCCTCATCACATCAGCTGTCTTCATCCTGGTCAGCCTGGTCAGCCTGGTCATCGTAGTATCAATAGACTATCAACGATATACAATTCATAGAAAATTTGAGACTTTTTACCTATTGTGTAGATTCATGACATCTTCTGTGAAGTAATAATAAATAGAAAATTATTATTTTATATTTACTTTTTATCGCCTTTTCCAATAAAAAAGAACTAGGTTATATAAGTACATTTTACCAGCTATCGTAAGGATCGCTTTGTGTAAGAATAATATATAAACTTATACTAATCAATACACTGCAAACACAATTTGTATTATTAAACTTGATAAACTAGTAATTAAAACAATTCATAACACACCTTGAAGTGTCAGGATTGCTCAAAGAAATACGGTATCTTTGGTAGGGACAGAAATATTGCCTTGCTGCAACAGGCCATCTACGGACGAGACCGTTTGTCCTTGCATGAAAGATTTTTAAAAAGGCAGAAGATATTAAGCAAGATTGGAAAGTTAAGGAATATAATACGAAAACTAGTTACGATACATACATGAGTGCTGTGGTATAATGGCTAAATTATAAAATACACTTATAGATTAATCATCCTCCCAAAACATGAGCTGCGTCTGATAGAAATCCACCTTATGCAAGTGCACGTGTACATGTACATGTTAAAGACTCTGATTAATTTTGGAACATTCAAATACGAAATTAAAAGATTAGTTTTGGTCTATTCTGTAGTGTTCTTGTATCAATTCAATTTTCAAGCAGTGACATGTACAGTACAGACTTTGTTTAGAGATTTTTTTTTCAACCCGTAATAGGTTAACAAATGTATTGATATTCATTTGCATAAGGTCGATTTTTATCCGGGGCAGCTAATTCAATTTTCAACCAATGACATGTACAGACTTTGCTTAGAGATGGTTTCAACCCGTAAAAAGGTTAACTATATTGATATTCATTTGCATGAGGACGATTTTTATCTTGCGCAGCTCATATATATGGTAGATGACCCTAACAGCCATCCCTATCATAGTTTCCGTAACTATACAAAACGTTTCGCAGGTTCTAGTATTCTTTGGTGCTATACATTCTTTCAGCTTTGTTCACTTGTGTCAGGTATAATTGGCAATGCAGAATAAAACGGGTATTATATGTCATTTGTAAAGCCAATACAAGTTCAGTTTTTTTTTGGTCCAGTTTTGCCAGTCTTTGTAATTATAATATGACCTTATAATTCAAATATTTAAAAATCAAGTTCATATCACCAACACTTACTTTTTCACGACAACTGTTCATAATGGGTTCAGAGTGATAATACACAGTCACCAAAACTGATAATTATTCTTTATGAACTGGAAGCTCCAATCACATAGTAGCAGTAAATATGGTCGATCAATGTAGAAAATAGAATATAATTTTAACAAATTTCATTGTGTACATGTTAACACCGTTGAAATGGCAATTTTCAAAAGTTGGTCAAATAGAACGAAAATCGAATATGTCGTTAAATTCCTGTTAATTCTGTGACATGAGAATGACAGCTCTTTTCAGATTGCATACCTTTATTCCCCTTATTACGGCAATTCTACTTTTAAGTAATTTTTAATTTGGTTTTCAAATCTTTCATTTAATTATAAGATATGCAACTTAATATTATTTATCTATAAAAAAGATGTGGTGTGATTATCAATGAGACAACTATCCATCAGAGACCCAAATGACGTAGATATAACCAAGTAAAGGTCACCGTACGGCTTTCAACAATGAGAGAAAAAAAATACCATATAGAAAGCTATAAAAGGACCCGACATGTATTCTCAAACGAGAAAATCATTGCCTGAATTATGCTGCCTATATTTATTTCTCTGAAACCACCAGCAAATATATCTGAATATTTTCGCAAGGCATGGGTCATACATTGTAATAAAAAAAATGCTGGGACACATTAATTATGAGCCAACGAGCAAACAGCTTCAGATGTTTGGGTCTGTGCGTAATGTTCAGCGACAAGTATGATATGCATATTCAGGACGATAACACATTTTATGCGATATTCAATATATGTCCTATTGTGTACGAGACCGACACGCTGAGAATGTCAACATTCCCCCAACTGTCAAGATTTAGAGTATTGAATACAAATAACGGACATCAGATCTTTACTCGTTGCAGGAGAGGGGAGGCAACTTCTCTAATTTGTACAACCGCTTCCCGCTCAACACAAATATTGTACTCTCTGTCCATCACATTACCTCAGAAAGCTGTCTATATGAAAATATATTTTATTTTGCAAGTAAGGTTTGTCATTGTGTACATTTTCAATAAAATGCATATTCTTGTAAAATATATACCGTAAAATTCCATGTTTTCACGATGTGACGTCATTTACGAATGTACAGAACCAATTTGTTCACCGACAAAACACAAAAAAACCATAAACATGCTTGAAAACTATTGCAGAAAGATGTGTTAACTCGGATGATATTATCAGATCCTTGAATTTAAAACTTTGCATTTTAGATTAAAACAAAAATATATATTTTGTTTTATTTCGTTTTGTTTTGTTTGTTTCGTTTTGTTATGTTTCGTTTCGTTTTGTTTCGTTTCATTTGTTTTGTTGAGGTCGTTACGTTTTTATTTCGTTTGCACTTGGCACTTGTTACAGATAAAAATATCCAAAAACAAAGTAAAACATTTCCGTAATTGTTTAAGATATGTCTAAAGACCAGCAGAAAATATTTTAAATCTCTATGCATTAATACGTGCTTACATGAAATGAAATTGGACTTAAGATTGAAAAAAATGCCTACAACAACAGATATAACAACTTACTTACACTAAATCGATCAGAGTGAATACGACCAGCTCGTAATTAGCAAATCACAGCTATCAAAACTATATTCCTAAGTGTGATGGTTGCAGAACCAGACTCACAACCATTAAAGTTCAAACTAGCAATGCGCCAAAATAATCAGAGTGTCCCTTTAGTGCAGAATCCGAACATTAATCGATTCCGTCCTGGAACTATTTTGTCTTTGATGTCGTCTGCCTTCCTTGTATGCACCTTCTGTCATTCAGAATCATAACTTAAAAGGTTTGTTCTGCAACCTACGCAAATTATTCGGAAATGCAAATGTTATTGATGTAATGCTGACATTATTGTTATGTTAAATACGATGAAATTGGATTTATTAAAGGTAAACGCTATTACTTTCTTTCGTAACAAGGATTTCTCAGCAACAAAAGAAAGAAAAAAACTCACATATTAGAGATACAATATGCTTATGCTTTCATAATATGTATGTTTAAGTCGACCTAGTACAATTCAAATGTACAGTATTTATACCATCAAATAAATACAAGAGCCATTGAATATACAATGTACTTAAAATGTACTCAATAAAAAATAAAAGACATCTTGTGGTCAACATATAGTCTAACACAAATTAAAAGATGTCTATATATAATCAGTCTAGTTGTAGTTCAATCCTAGTCCAAACAATTGAATAAATAAAAGATAAACCATAAAATATTGTGTCTATTGTTGAAGGCTTTTAGGTGAACTTTATATGAACTTTGATGTTCAGTAGTTGTCGTTTGTTGATGTGGTTCATAAGTGTTTCTCGTTTCTCGTTTTTTATATAGATTAGACCGTTGATTTCCCCGTTTGAAAGGTTTTACACTAGTAATTTTTGGGGCCCTTTATAGCTTGCTGTTCGGTGTGAGCCAAGGCTCCGCGTTGAAGACCGTACTTTGACCTATACTGGTTTACTTTTATAAATTTTGACTTGGATGGAGAGTTGTCTCATTGGCACTCATACCACATCTTCTTATATCTATTGAGATGACTTTTTGGTTGTTTGTGTTGTTTGGTTGTTGACTTCTTGCCGTATACATTACATTACCTTTTGTTGATACGTTGAAAAGTATCATAGTATTTGTATTTTGCTTCGGATGAACATGCAAGTCAGTTAACTGTAACTTGACTTTATTTTCGTGTTTCCGGAGAATTTATGGTACGATTCGTTTCGCAAACCCCATCCAAAAGAAAGATAAAAAAAGAAAACAAAATTGTCAGTTCTTAAGACTTAACCATATTTAGTACAGGGTTTTCGATATCAAAAACTAGGCAAAACATTTACTGAATTTCATCATCGGTACAAGGACATAATTCGTAAATATAAATCAACATGCAGACATCTTATACGTTCAGGTATTTCACATCCAATCTTTTATGGTAATATTCTATATAAAGCACAGAAATGTCGTCATTCACCTCAAAAGCTAACCAAACCTTTAAACAGACTTATTCAGAAGGGATAAAGTTACAATACTGTTGGCAGGTCATTAAAGATGGCATATTTTGGAATTAATATTGATTCATTCATAGGGTCTTTCCATCGGAAATAAACACATGTATTCTAAAACTAGTTGTTGGCATGATACGGGTTATGGTCTTCTCATATATTTTATGATGATATGATTTTTTCGCTGTGTTGAAGACCCATTGGTGGCCTTGGGCTGTTTTCTGCTCTTTGGTCGTGTTAACTCTTTGACACATTCCCCATTTACATTCTCAATTTTTTTAGTACCTTATTTCCGTTTTCGAATTCATTGATAGAATTCTGACTTTAAGAGTTCGTGCAAAAGAACCTGTCCATTTTGCCATAATACTTCTCTGCAGTTGTTATGGTTGACCTAATTTTGATGATCATGTTTTATGATTCGTTAGATTTTGAAATGGCTGTACAATGAATATGGAAATGCATTTGTATTTCATCTGTAGGTTCACTGCACGAATTACAAGGAAAGTAAAAATGCGATCATGTGGACGGATAGTCAGAGTTTACTTTTTCGTTTTTCATTTCAAAATTGTTCTCCGACTTTCTCATTTACCCTTTGGGTGGCATACATGTACTTTGCTTTCTGCATGTTTGCTAAAATTATTACTAAGACCTAGAAATAAATAGCAAGGACCGCGAGACAATAGAAACGTTACGGAACTGTGAATGACTCGTCTTTTAGTGATTTAAAAAATAAGGAGATTTGGTATGAATGTCAATGAGACATATATACACCAGAACTAGTCGTCATCGTGCGGCCTATAAACCCATAGGGTATAGCCAGCCATAAAAGAAATGACAAAATGTAAAACAATGTAAACGAGAAAACCAACGGTCTGATTTACGTGTATAATAAAACAATGTAAACGAAAAAACCAACGGTCTGATTTACGTGTATAATAAAACAATGTAAACGAAAAAACCAACGGTCTGATTTACTGTACGTGTATAATAAAACAATGTAAACGAAAAAACCAACGGTCTGATTTACGTGTATAATAAAACAATGTAAACGAAAAAACCAACGGTCTGATTTACGTGTATAATAAAACAATGTAAACGAAAAAACCAACGGTCTGATTTACTGTACGTGTATAATAAAACAATGTAAACGAAAAAACCAACGGTCTGATTTGCGTGTATAATAAAACAATGTAAACGAAAAAACCAACGGTCTGATTTACGTGTATAATAAAACAATGTAAACGAAAAAACCAACGGTCTGATTTACTGTACGTGTATAATAAAACAATGTAAACGAAAAAACCAACGGTCTGATTTACGTGTATAATAAAACAATGCAAACGAAAAAAACAACGGTCTGATTTACGTGTATAATAAAACAATGTAAACCAGAAAACCAACGGTCTGATTTACGTGTATATTATAAAACAATTAATATAATTTAAGTCCTGTATAACGGTGCGCTGCACTATCATGTTGGTTTGGTTATTAATTACTATTAACGATCATTTTTGAATTCGGATCCAACAGGAGAGGCAGCAGATGATCAAAAGAAATTAAAAAAATAAAAACAACCCTCCCTCCCTCTCAGAAATGTCTATGTGTTATAAATACAATGTATTAGAATTAGATACTGCTTTGGTTATTTTATAATTTCAGGTGATGTTTCAATTGACAATTTCTGAACACCGATATGTATTTAGCCATACGGACAGACAGGACAGGTGAAGAAGTCAGGTCGATGTTATCAAACTTTCCGACAAAAACTTTGAATTTACTTGGCCTGTGATCTGCAGAATTCGCTGCATCAAAAACATGTTGGTTTATTTAATAGGATCATTTACTACAGATGAACAATGTAAGGGTTTCGATACATCACATGTGTTCCCACGGTGATTTCTAAATTGTTTTAATCTTATTTTCAGTTACCTTTATCTGTGGTAGTAATTTATATATATCAGCAGGGTTTAAAAACATCAGTTGTTCGACCTGCTAGTCAAATACGTTTTGTTAAAATATACTTTTCACTTTTTTGGTCTTTTGGAAAATGTTGTTTGTGCTGTATTTAGACCCCTCTACCAAGAAATTTGTTTTACATGCACACCTATAAAAATTGCGGTTTTTATCCAACGCAATCATAGGTTTGAACGTTGTTTTCCATTTAGACTTGTATATATATATATAAATTTATAATTAAGATCCATTTATTCCATCGGTGATCCGTTTATTTGGCAATCGCCAATGGCAGTCAGCAGGGTTTAAGAACATCAGTTGTTCGACCTGTTAGTCAAATGCGTTTTGTTAAAAAATACTTTTTCACTTGTTTGGTCTTTTGGAAAATGTTGTTTGTGCTGTATTTAGACCCCTCTAACAAGAAATTTGTTTTGCATGCACACGTATAAAAATTGCGGTTTTTATCCAAAGCAATCATAGGTTTGAACGTTGTTTTCAATTTAGACTTGTATATATATATGTGTGTGTGTGCGTGTTTGTGACAGTACGGTTGTCGTAATCAGCAATCTGCGGATAACCTCATATTTTCAGTTAGCATCATTTGTGGTGTTATGTTTAATTATATATCAATGATAGTTCGGTTGCCAACAATTTGCGGTAACAACATACACGTATATTGAATCAGTTTTATGTCGGTTATATATAATATGTATAAATTTTGAGAATAAAAATATTAAAGGCTGTGGCCAAATACTGCCAATTTGTTCTTTGGTCTTAATAAGAATCTGGGATAACACATGAAATTTATAAGTAAACGTGTTTTTTTTTCGAAAAACGAATATGACAAACAAAAACCTACAACAACCACTGAATTTTAGTCGCATAAAATAAGTTTCGGGTTAAAGTGTGTTTGTGAGCGCTGAACTCTTCTTGGACTTTGGACAGGGATATAGCAATTTTAAATTGAAGAATAATTAAAGTAACCTGGCATATAAAGTGTACATGAGAATATGATTAACAAGAGCTTGTATATTCTTTTAATGGTTTAAGTAAAGGTATGCTACAATGATAAATAATCCTTTCAGTTAGAGACATTTTTTCTAACAATTTTTGGTTTCAATATAAATGGGATACACACTATTATTAGTTAAAACTTTTTTATATATATCTGATGTAATAAACGATAGTTTTCGCTTTCTAAAGTAAGAACTATATGTCCGTAAAACTAATTAAATTTTAATCGAAGGCTTGTTTCGTGCTGAACAGTTCATGTACTTTCTTCTAAAGTATAGGGTTACATGGGGATGTGGAGATATACTTCAAAAAGGGAGCAATGGAACGATTAAAAATCTAAAAGACATTTAGAGGTCAACATAGAGACTACAATTGACCTAAAAGGGTTTACTTTTACAAATTGTGACTTGAATGGAGAGTTGTCTCATTGGCACTCATTCCACATCTTCTTATTTATAAGTCACGAAATTTTCTATTTCTGTGCAGAAACATTCCAGAAGCGCCTGCAATTATCCAATTGATATGACACTCCCGGGCTTGTATTTCCTATCATGATTTCCTTGATAGAGGACTGCTGCTCACAAGGAAGCTATTAAACCAAGAGTTCCAAGTGGTGAAGTTTAGTCTTTAGTTTCTATGTTGTGTTTTGTGTACTATTGTTTGTCTGTTTGTCTTTTTCTTTTTTAGCCATGGCGTTGCCAATAGATATAAGAAGATGTGGTATGAGTGCCAATGAGACAACTCTCCATTCAAGTCACAATTTGTAAAAGTAAACCCTTTTAGGTCACAGTACGGCCTTCAACACGGAGCCTTGACTCACACCGAACATCAAGCTGTAAAGGGCCTCAACAATTACTTGTGTAAAACCATTCAAACAGGAAAACCAACGGTCTAATCTATATAAAAAAACGAGAAACACTTATGAACCATGCACATCAACAAACAACAACCACTGAACATCAGGTTCCTGACTTAGGACAGGTGCAAACAAATGCAGCGGGTTTAAACGTTTTCATAGGCGCCAACCTTCACCGTTTATTTTCGATTTATGAGTTTGAATGTCCCTCTGGTATCTTTTGCCCCTCTTTTACGAAGAACATTTTTTGTCAACAAGTAACACTAAATGTAGATTAAAATGGTCTTGTAATATTTATCGAGCTAAGTTGAGCGGTAACAAATATGTTTAATCCCGCCATATTTTGTATGTTCCTGTCCCAAGTCATGAGCATATACTGCAGTGTTTGTCGTTGTTTCATGTCTGTCTTATTTGTTTTTCGTAAATCGTATCGTACAAATTAGGCCTCATTTTTCTCGTTTGAATTGATCCTTTTTTTTTATGTCGGGGCCTTTTTATATAACTGACTAAACGATATGGGTTCTTCTCATTGTTAAAGGCCGTATGGTGACCAATGATTGCTTATATCAACGTCTTCTGAACTCTGGTGAATAGTTGTCTCATTGGTTATCCTACCACTTATTATTTTCATAAAAACATGAACAACCAAAAATATAAGACATTACAACAGACCACATCAACCGAAAACAGCCGACTCATCCGAACAAACAAATGTTCAAACAAAGATACACCAGAACGAACAAGATATGGTCCGGTTAGCCTGACTTGGTACATGCAAACAAATTTGTTTACTTTTTACATATTGTGACTTGGGTGGAGAGTTGTCTCATTGGCACTCATACAGCATCTTCTTATTTCTAAAGACGTGCGGTTAAACAGTTTCACGTGCACTCAAATCTACCTGTTTGTCTTACTAGACTGTATGCTGTAAACCTAAATACACCAAATATACATGACCTTCTATGACCTTCAATGTGTGAAAGGTTTGAGTGCAACATAAACTGTACGTTCCGGAAATTATAAATTTGTTTATATAAATATTGAATGGGTTATGTTAATCACACAGCCTACTGCGTTTTAATATCAAACAACAAAATAATATTTTAATTTAAGAACTTAATATTCTTTTCTAGTGACTTAACGCAGATGCCTTGGTTGCTCTAATGAAGATATTTTACAGTAAAACCTAATAATATACTCACTTGTATAAAAGTACATTCACAATTACGGTAGTCACAAATTTAAAAATATTTGAAATTAGAATATCAATTTACGTAACTGTTTTATTTAAAACGAGTATAAGACTTGTAGATGTAAGACAGTTGTCTTTCTTCGTTCCTGGAACTTTAAATAAGATAGTTTCGTATAATGACATGTTTCACTGTAGATGATCAGGAACAGCAAATAAAACATGCAAAACTGATGTTTACATACTTAATAAATATTACAAAATACAATCCTTATTATGACAACAACTGTTGCCTGATCCTCCATAATTAGATATTAAAAGTCATGTGACGTTATCTGTAAAAAGGGCAAGGCAATACTATTTAACCGACTCATTTCAACTAGTCGTCTGCTGGGAACCATCTGACTTTGACCATGGATAGGATTGTGACGACAGGATTTTTTGTTTTGTGTTTGGTTTTTTGTGTCAGCTCTATGGGAAATCGTAAGTTATAGACTTAAAAATATATTTTATTTTTTCAGTTTATGATATTTTTATTTTTTTTTTCAAGATTTTCAGCAACTTTCTTTGCTTTAATTCAAGATTTTCAGATAGTCAAGTATAGTCAAGTACAGCCAAGTTAGTCAGTCTGGGGCACCTTAGGGTGTTGATTCGTGTTGCTCAATGGACTTTCGGTTTTGAATTTTCCTTGGAGTTCTGTATTTTTGTTATTTTACTTTTTAGTAGTTTAGTATGGTATTTTGTGGCTTGATGTATGTTTTTTCCGTCGTTTTCCATTTATGACCATGGCGTTTTCTGTTTTTATTTGACTTATTGTTTCTGTTATCCTTTGTATCCTCTCCGCTTTTAAGATCTCCTCAGTGCTTTTCTTCTTGTTTTATCCCTTAATCTGAAAAAGAAAATCAATGTTAAACAGAGGTAAGAAAAAGCTACTAAATAAACCAATAAAGCAGGCTATCGATCTTCATTTACCGCATGCAAACTGTGTGAGCAGTTCTGAATTCAGCAGATAGAAATATGTGAGAAAATTTTGAAGACTTAACTGATGTCATTGTTCAGTTTTTGTTTCGCCTTCAAAGAAAGCGCCAGAAGCGGGACTAAGGCGAGTATATTCAGCGTCGGCGTCAGTGGTTTAATATATTTAGATTTTATGATTTCTGGAGTGACTTACTTCTATTTTAACAGTTCAATAATATTACTTCCTATATAATTGGTCCTTTCAGTTTGATATCTGTTGAAAAAAGATGTTTTGTCTATTTTCTTCCTTTTTTGTAATTCTTTTCTATCTTTATATCGTATTATATTTCTTCCGGTAGTTTATTTAACTGTTTTCCTTTATAGACTGTAATCTTTTTTTCTTAATTATGAGGTATCATAATAGCAATTATTTGGCGCCTGAAATACCGACCGTGCAAAACCCTCATGGGTAACTGGAACTTTTTAGTATGGAAAACCTTCTGTTAACTAAATTTAAGTCATTTATCGTATCCTGAAAATATGGACACTAACTATGTTGTAAAACTATTTATGTCAAAATTACACGATAAACATGTCGATAATTGGCATGGTGTTTTACGTTCTGATAAATCTATTTTGAGTAGAGGTGGCAATAAGCTACGATTGTTTGAAGAAAATCTTGAACCGGAGGAATACTGCAAAATAGCTTTACCCTTCAGTCACAGAAGTGCTTTCGCCAAATTTAGATGTGGTGTTGCTCCCCTAAGGATTGAACCAGGGAGATATAAAAATATTGTTTTAGAAAACAGTGTGTGCCGTATATGTGACGGTTTTATTGAAGATGAAGCGCATGTTTTATTAAGATGTCCTCTTTATGACGATTTTAGAAACCATTTATTTAATGTTGCTGCAACTTTTAATGAAAATTTTAATAGTTTAGATGATAACCACAAGTTAGTGTTTTTATTCGCAGATGTAAATATGATACGTGTGTGTACATGTGCCAAAACAAGTTATTTGATTTTAAAAAGGCGTAGAAATTTTATATATTGTAAATAATATTTTATTTCATATTGTTTAGCGTATTATATCTATGCATTTTAATAATCTCTTATAATTCAGTATAGAATGGCTCTCATTTTATTCCGTATTGTTTTATAATGTATAAATATTGATTGTACTTGTTGAGAGATGAGACTTTAATAAAACATTGAATTGAATTGAATTGGTAATCAAGGTCGTTAAAGAAAACCCTCGTCGGCGCCTGAAATTACAAAATATATATCGCAACAAAATATTCTTTTCGGTAAAACCTTGGCTTATATCCGAATATTAACGACTAAAACTTTAAACTTTCGCATTGTATGGATATTTGTTTTCAAAAATTATTATGCTGACCTGTAATTGATTTAAAATAAATAATATCGCTCCATACAGGATGAAAAATGATATTGTGCGCATAAAATGCAGCCTATAATTGCATGGAAATTTTTTTTTTTCTGCATGAAAAGTAAGGGGCGTTACTTAAACAAGTTTTTTTTCAGTTACGTATAAAGGTAATTTTTGTTTTTCAAAAAATATTAATTTACTCATTAGAGTTATTTTAAATTTCAATAAAAGCATGGACTGAATCTAGTAGTCATGATTTTTTACATCATTTTATTACATACAACTAAGAATTTATTAAATTTGAGAGGAGTATAGAGGTAAAAAATAATGACAAAAATATCACTTGAATAAGTTATTTTATAAATCTTTGAAAGAATTAGTAATTACAATTATTTAAGGAACATTTGTAATTGTTTTTGGGTTACAAATTATAAATAACTCCAAGTCTTAATTAAATCACAAGTTTCTATCTATTTATATCTGTCTACCTTCAAGAAGATTTTCAAAGAAAATTATATTTAAGTAGTCCTAAGAGACCAATCTTTGACCCAAAAGCGTTGATATATTAAAAAGATAAGTGCGTCAGAAAGGCAATTAGTGTTTCAGGATAATTAGTTTTTATATTTCAAGGGAAAAATAACCAGATGACTGTGAACATTTGTTAAAGCTAGTAAAATCTGTAAGAATGGACACATATAAAAATAATATTTAGAAAAGTTACTAATATAAGTAATATTTAAAATAGCCTCGTTTTCAACATTACTTGTATAGGTGAGCTATTAAACAAAGAGTTCCAAGTAGTGAAGTTGAAATCATCCCTTCGTAAGTTTTAAGGACGCCATCACGAGTTGGTTGACCGTTATGGAATATCCGTTTCACAGATGATAGCGGATATTTTCCTAATGTCGTGATGAAATAAAGAAATCCCGTAGAAACAGAAAAATTGAAACAATATCCAATAAACCCTCCTTTTGCGCCCTTTCTAATCCTACGAAAATCAAATAGTTGTCTCCTTACAACATATCAGTACTTCAACTATTTCCGATTTGAGATTACTCTCTTGTGTAATTTTGCCTTTTGTGATAACATCAGGAATTACCAAGAACACTGGACAGTACAACAGGCAAAAAAAAAACCACCCCAAAAATCAAACTCCTCGTGGAAAATAGACGTACAATGTACAAACAAAGATAAAAAACAACAATTAATCAATTATTGGCGTTTAACGCACTATAGGCTACATTGTGGCGGTCAGTTTTTGTTGTTTAGGGAAACCGGAGTGCTCGGATAGCACAACCAACCTTTGGCAGGAAAATCCTTGTCAATTAATATTAGGGTCGAATGCACCTGCCAAGTGCGGGGTACGAACTAACAACCTCAGTGTTGATAGGCTAGTGAAACAATAGATGAACTACTTAGACCACTCGGCCACCAACATCCCCAAAAAACAACAAAAAAACAACACAATTGATTAAAATAAAAGAGTGATTGTCTGGATAAAATGTAATAATTTGACGTATTTCAATGTTGTTGTGGCTGAAATAAATAGACACAAAACGCATTTGCTTTTGCTAATCCGATGTATTAATATGATTCTATCATTTAGACAATCGGAGGAATTGAAAACGATACATATTTCTAAATATCCTTCCAATAATTTCCATTTTATCGAATTTTAAATATTAAATACCATAACCCGTCAATGTCCTTCGTATCGTTTTAATCAGTACAAGTTGAACATAAGTAAGAAAAACGCAATAATCTGAAGAAAACAATTCTAATGTGGTATAATATATTTTTTTTTAATATTGTGAAGAAATGAGCCATTTGTATTCATTGGTACAACACAAAAATATTCTCTGTCTTTATTTCTGTCTCTCTTTTAAATTGAAAACAATGTCATGATTGTTTCATTACACTATGCAATATGAACAATAATTTACAGATCTTATATACCATGTGTTGCTTGCTACTCATGTTATATACATCTGTTTAACAAAAGCCGGAAAAAATAGTTTGTTGATTTTATGCTTCAGCCAGCATTCTGAATACATTGGAGTTATGACACATGTAAATGCAACATCTACTTTCCATAAGGTGTGTTTGTTAATAATACATCGAATAATCACCTACAAATTTACTTTAATGTTAACGATCAAAATATTATAATTTTGCATTCGGTAAATTAAATTAAAAAACGGATTTTGAACGACTGATTTGTTTTTAATAAATAAGGGATTTACGATTATACGGTTGAATAACGGTTTGTTAAATATGAAAACCTGAATGATATTAAAAAATGAAGTTTTTTGCATAATGATAAAAATATGATAATTCAAAATCATCTATGACAAATATTATTACTGCTACAAAAGAACTTATTATATCTACAAAAACAACGAGATTATATATTAACATATGCATGCATTATTTCTGAAACATGTAATCACCGATTATCGACATTTGTTCATTGTTGAAAAAATTACCAAGCAGATCAAAGGGTAATCGAGAAAGATTTATTTAATATAAAACGGTTTATTTAACGTTTTGTGTTGTTTTTTTTCTCTAACCAACTAGATAATTGCTAAGCGTTTCTTTTTCGCGTGGATGATGACAACTTAATCGGGCGATTGTCCCAAAGTAACCTGTATCACAGGTCACAGATGGAAACAATAGCATGAAAGCATACTGTTTAAAGCAATTTATCCTGACAAATGTTAAATCATTGGACGGGAAACTTAGGAAGAGAGGAGGCAGCTATTTAGATCAATACTATGTCTATATTTGTCAAGTTCATCAATTCGTTTTAAGCATTTTGTGAAACAAAATTACATTAATCAGTTTTACTTCAAAGCTTGCATTTATAATGCACTCACAAAAAAGGCGGAATATACCAAAAGTGGTTTGTGTGAAAAATTGTTCACACAAACCACTTTTGGTATATTCCGCCTATTTTGTGAGTGCATTGTATTCTACATTAGGTACTTCTTGGTCGAGAACAGAGAGAATAGAGAATAGAGACATGACAATGAATTGTATATAAACCAGGACAACACTAGAAGCATCCGTGGTCATCTGTGACGCATATATTCAGTAAAAGTGAACTAAATCATGATATGGACAAATCAACAATTCTAAATTAAGACTTTATAACTTTAACATTTGGAACAATCGGTTCGTCAGCTTTCTTGATATAAACACATTTGGTTTAAAAGGTGATGAAAACAACACCTCAGTTTTAGTGAGTAGGTTGATCATGTTTTCCTGTTTGAGTCTACATTTAACTCAATACGTTATCAAAATGTAATAAAAGATTGAAAATGCAAATTTTCTGAGACTGTTAGTGCGTATCTTAAAATCAATATAAGGATAAGTTAAGATAAATAAGATACTATCATTTCAATAGGGAACCCATAATGGGCAACATCAGTGCAATGATAGCCACATACAATATTTACTATATCAATAATAAAATATAAAATGCTCAAATTCTCAAATGACATTATTATGTGTATTGTTAAAATTTGGTGTGATATTAACTCGCATTGTAACCAAAACTAAAAGGACACTGATGCAACCTTTAGCAAAACTGTTCCAAATGCTCCCACAAAAATCCTAAAATAATTTAAGTCAATGGGAAAAACTATGAAGATCCCTCAATCTATCCTAGTAATAGACTACCAGGTAACCTTAACTGTATTTGGAAAAATCTTTCGGAATTTTGGGTTCTCAATCCTCTTTTGCTTCGTTCTTTATTTTGGCCTTTTAACTTTTTTTATTCGAGCGTCACTGGCGAGACTTTTGTAGATGAAACGCGCATCTGGTGTACAATATAACAATTCTTGTATCTTTGATGAGTTTATTTTTTCTAGTAGTGGAAATATTAATTTAATAGTGTTTATTATATTACTTTAACTTACTTTAACCTATATATAATGCAAGTCTATTTCAACAAAACAGTTACATTTATTGCTTTCGAATGGACACAAACAATACATGTATATTTACAGTCTGTACTATTATTTGTCTGTTTTTATTTTTATTTTTGGCCATGGCGTTGTCAGTTTGTTTTCGATCTATGAGTTTGACTGTCCCTCTGGTATCTTTCGTCCCTCTTTTACAGCTTTTAAATTCATTTTTTTCTGCGATATTTGATTTAAAGTCATCAAACCATTCCCAGATTTAGATTTGTAAAAGGATTAAACATTCCTAGCACCTCACCACAATATACATGAATAGGTTTAACTGTCTGATCAAACATATGCATTCTAGTAACAATCCAATACATCTTTTGATAATTTAGAGTAGGTCTTAAAGGATGTAGTCTTCTGAGGTCTCGGTCTCGTGGAAATCTCGTTTGGGAATTATTTCCAAACATGTGATACAAGTGGAAAATATCAATGAATATAAAAGGTATTATAACCAAACTAAACTCTGTGAAAACATTGTGTACTTACAATAAGTAATTTTTGAGTAATAACATTTTCAAATTTTATAACCAGTCTGGTAAGTGTCATCAGCAAAAACGTGGAGAAAATAGGTGAGGGTACAAAGAAATAGTTTTACCAAAAATATGTACATCCCATATCATTTTTTTTTTCAAAATTGTAAGATATGTATTTTTTCAATCAATTATAATAAAGAAGTTGAAATAACATGCTTTTTGTTCTAAAAAAGAAAAGAGAAAAATCCCAAATTTACATGAGAAAGCAACAAAATTTAATAAAACTTTCTCATATTAACACCAACCTATAGTTTTTTTAGTTAAATTTACTCAGATTGGTCCACTTTATCTTTAGTGAAAGTATGAAAAAAGTTTAATTGTAAAATTGTGTTTTTCATGATAATAGCTCAACAATGAGTAAAATTTGATGAAAAATGAGAAAATCATAAAAAATGGGTACTTTCAAATGGCTGTAGCAAAAAAAGCAGTGCACCACCATAATATTTTTTCTTTATCAGTTACTTTCTTACTGTCATATAAACCCAAAAATCAGGTTAAAAAAAAAGTTTAATTCTGGAAATTTTTGGCTCCTCAGAGGTGTACATCCTTAAGACTATTTATAGAAAGATCTTCTTGCGTGAAGACGACCCTTATACATATGAATGAAATCCAAGATATTTTTATCTTTGAACACATTAACGTTCAACATACATTCACTTAAAACATAGTTGAAATATGTCCATGTCTATCGGCATTGTTGAAAATCATTGTTGTTTTGTTTTATTTGTGTTTGCAGTAAGACACCAGTCATTTCAATATTGACATGATTAATAACAAACCTTTCTTAAATTGTCCGTTTATAAATTTACAAATCATAAAGAAACTAAGGTTTAAACTCCTACTGTCAAAGTCGACCTTAGATGGATTTGGCTATTTTTTTTGGTTCTTTTTGGCATATAGCTTTTCAACTGTTTCGGTACTGGTACATCCTTTACTTTCAATATTCAGCGTTGAGCGTTCCTGATGAAGGTAAAGCTAGGAAAGCGCTTCGGACACTTAAGGATGTTTGCCCCTTTTGTTTTTGAATTTTTGCCAGATATTCGGAATCCTCTGGTTTTATCCATGTAGTGTCATTAAAAAGTTTTCCCCGCTAACCCCTACTTTTCTTTTTATAATTTTATTACTAATAGTTTAAAAAGCCATATTTGAAAATCCTATAAAATCCATGTTATTTTTTCATAATTTTTGAAAGAAAAAGGGTGCCAATGTTAAATGTAAGAAAAGTCTAGAGAGAATTATTTCCCGCCAAATTTTCAATGGCTTATATCTCTAAAACAAGCACACGGACCCTACATTTTTTTCTGCTTTTTCAGTTCCTTTATTTATATACTATCAATTTATAATAGTCTTTTAAAAAGCTTGTTATTTTGAAACAGAGTAGCGAACATCCTTAACAGTTATAAAGTGTTGTTTTCATTATTATTTTTATTTTTATTATTATTATTACAGATGGAATGCCAAAAACGTATAAACCACGTATGTATTTTTGTTTGTTAACTGTATAAGGGTTATAATGCCAAGAATCTTATAACAAGACATGGACTAAATTGTATACATATGTATATTTGAAACAATACCGTTGTCAAATCCTATTAAAACAATTGATTATTTCACAGAGCCCCCCCCCCCCCCCCCCCCCTTCCCCCCTAATGGAGCTTCATATATGAAAAATGCATAGACTTTTTACGAGTATCACTGCAAACGTTGATGTGCCACATTTTTACTTTGAAATGAACTATTTAATTCAAATATATTCTTCCGTCTCTCTTTCACAAGCTTTAAGAAATTGATAATACAGAATTTATCTTTTATGAAATTTAAAAATTTAAGTATATTTGATATTATTATTATTTTTATTATTGTTATTAATACTTTTATTATTATCATAAAACATAATATTATCATTACAGCACCAGTTTATAAACCAGGTATGTATATGCTTTGATTATTGGATAATTGTAATAATAACAAGAATCTTATAACAAGAAATGGACTACGAAATAATAACAAGAATCTTATAACAAGAAATGGACTACATAATAATAACAAGAATCTTATAACAAGAAATGGACTAAAATGAAATATATAGATATAAGAAGATGTGGTATGAGTGCCAATGAGACAACTCTCCATCCAAGTCAAAATTTATAAAAGTAAATCATTATAGGTCACAGTACGGTCTTCAACAGGGAGCCTTGGCTCACACAGAACAGTAAGCTGTAAAGGGCCCCAAAAAGTACTAGTGTAAAACCATTCAAACGGGAAAACCAACGGTCTAATCTATATAAAAAACGAGAAACGAGAAACACTTATGAACCACATCAAAAAACGACAACTACTGAACATCAGATTCCTATATATGCCTATTGGAGAAAAATGTCTTTGTCCTTTAAGAAAACTAAACCCTTTGTCATAGGTTTTAGAAACAATTGGTTATTTCACTGAAATATCTAAATGCTCCTCTTTAAAACAGTTCGACAAAAATAAATTCAATGTATATATTCAATACATCCACAATTCATGCAAACCATTTATTTTTACGAATACAGGGGCGATTTTTTTTTTTTGGGGGGGGGGGGGGGTCAGCAGAGCCGCCCTCTTATGGAGGTAAATATATGCTAAGTGCATAGATATTTTACAAGTATCAAGTTCGTAACACATTTTTACTTTGAAATGAACTATTAAATTCAAATATATTATTCCGCCTGTCTTTCACAAGGTTTACGAAATTAATATACTTATCGTTTATGAAATTTATAAATTAGATTATATTTAATATTATTATTATTATTATTATTATTATTATTATTATTACAGCACCAGTTTATAAACCAGGTATGTATATGCTTTGGATAATTATAATAATGACAAGAATCTCACAACACGAAATTGATTAAAATATGATATATAGATATAAGAAGATGTGGTATGAGTGCCAATGATATATGCCTATTGGAAAAAAAACCGTCTTTGTCCTATTAGAAAAATATACCTATTGTCAAAGGCTTTTGAAACAATTGATTATTTCACCGAAATATCTAAATATTCATCTATAAAACAGTTCGACGAAAAATAGATTCAATGTATTTATTCAATTCATTCACAATTCATCCAAACTGGTTTTTATTACGAATCCAGAGATGGATTTAATAAAGGGGAGGGAAAGAGGGGGCAGCCGTGAAGCCGCCCTCCTGATGGAGCTACATATGTGATACATGCATAGAAATTTTTACCAGTATCACTCCAAACGTTTGCTTGCCAGCCCCTGCCCCCCCCCCCCCCCCCCCCCCCCCCCACCCCCACCCCTCCTCCCTTGTCAACATCCTGGATCCGCACGTGGAATCTAACATTTTATTACCTAGTGTTCAAAACATATGTGTCACCTTATATATTGCGATGAACTGGTTTTGGATTGAGTTCGTGATGCTAAGATTTTAGTTTTCTATGTTGTGTTTTGTAAACTGTTGTTTGTTTGTTGTTTTTTTTTTTAATCTTTTTTTTTTTTTCGTTTTTTTGCCATGGCATTGTCAGTTAGTTTTCTTATGAGTTTGACTATTTCTTTTTGCTTTTTTTATTCCTTTATTCGCACTTGGAATCTAACATTGTATTACCTAGTGTTCAAAGCAGTTGTGACATCTATAGGTCTAAAGGGGTCTTTTCATGGGCAGCTTGACAATCACACTCACATACACAAACACTACAATATGATTTCGTAACACATTTTCAAATTAAGATGACCTGGTTTTTGGTAGGGTTCGTGGTGCTAAAATTTGTGTTTTGTAGACTGTTGGTTTTTTTTTAATTTTTGTAATCTTTTTTCGTTTTTTTTTTTTTTTGCAATAGCATTTTCAGTTCGTTTTCGACTTATTTCTTTCGTATCTGTCGCCGTTTTTTCGCCTATAACTAATTTAAAAGGTCAATGGAATTGATATATAAAATTGAGGATGGAAACGGGGATTGTGTCAAAGAGACAACAACCCAACCAAAGAGCAGAAAACAGCTTTTATGAAATTTGTACATTAAATGATATTTAATATTATTGTTATTATCATTACAGCTGAACCACCCACTTATGTACCAGGTATGTATTTGCTATATATAAGTATAATGGTTATAATTACAAGCTATAGAAACGTATAACAAATACTAGACTAGCCATACCACATCTTTTTATTTGTATACATGTTAGAAAAAAAAACTTTTGATAAATCCTTTTGAAACAATTCATTATTTCACCGAAATATCTAAATATTCATCTGTTCAACGGTGTGACAAAACAAGATGCAATGAATATATTGAATACGTCAACAATTCATCACAACTGTTTTTTTTTCGAATCCTAATGGAGCTACATAGACTTTTAACAAGTATCACTCCAAACGTTTGCTTGTTCCAGCCCCTGCCCCCACCCCCCCCCCCCCCCACCCCTCCTTCCTGGTCAACATCCTGGATCCGCACGTGGAATCTAACATTTTATTACCTAGTGTTCAAAACATATGTGGCACCTTATATATTGCGATGAACTGGTTTTGGATTGGGTTCGTGATGCTAAGATTTTAGTTTTCTATGTTGTGTTTTGTAAAACTGTTGTTTGTTTGTTGTTTTTTTTTTAATCTTTTTTTTTCGTTTTTTTGCCATGGCATTGTCAGTTAGTTTTCTTATGAGTTTGACTATTTCTTAGGTATCTGTCGCCGTTTATTTTCACCTATAACTACCATACAAGGTCAAGGGAATTGATATACTTACATATTATGAAATTTGTACATTAAATGATATTTGATATTATTATTTTTATCATTACAGTTGCTGAACCACCCCCTTACGTACCAGGTATGTATTTGCTATATATATATATATATGTGTGAAAATTGAATAATTGGTATAATGACAAGCTAAAGAATCGTATAACAAATACTAGACTAATCTTACCATTATATGCAATTTAATATACCTGTTAGAAAAAAAACTTTGTCAAACCCTTTTGAAACAATTGACTATTTCACCGAAATAACTTAATATTCACAATTTCAACGGTTTGACAAAACAAGATACAATGCATGTATTGAATACGTCACAAATTTTTTTTTGTTTTTTCGAATCCAATATTTTTTCTTTACCTATTGTTCAAAGCATATTTGACACCTTTAGGAATAGGAATAAGACTAGGAATTGTTTAAATTAAGGGTCGTTGAAGAGTAACATGATGTTCACATACACCAACATTATAATAAGATTTTGTAACATATTTTCACATTCAAATGAAGTGAACAATTAAATTCAAATATACTCAAATAATTAATAAATCATAAATGCAGGATCACATAAAACTAAATTGCAAAGTTTAGGAAATTGATAAAATTATCTGATAGGCAATTTATACGTTATACGATTTTTATTATTATTATTATTATTAATATTATTATTATTATTATAATATTGTTATAATCATTATTTTTATTTTCTTTTATTACAGTTACTTCTCCAACGAAGTATAGACCAAGGTATGTTTATGCTATCTATTTAAGGAATGACTGTAATATTGTTTCTGTCTATGAAGAAATAACATCAAAACTGTGGTGCACACTGAATAACCCGCTTAGCGTGTTATTTAAAAGTGTGTACCACATTTTTTAGGTTATTTCGAATAGACAGAAAAAATATTACAGTCATTCCTTATAATTTAATTCTAAAAAGGAGTAAATCATGATAAAAACGTTGATGACGTCACGGTCACATGACAAAATTATGCCTATGAGCTGATAGACAAAACACTTTCAGCCAATCAGAAGACGTGTTACATCCAAAATTAAATTATTACTTGATAATGTTGATATCATTTATAATGACAAGAATCTTCTAAGTGGACTTAAATTTTTAGAACATTGTCACAAATTTCTTTATGCAGATAGAACACTACAAGACAAACCAAATGTTTTATTTTTCTAGAATTATGTTTATTGGAGATTCATCATGAATTTTGGAATTCTGTAAGATTTGATGAGAATTGCTTATGTGTTGAGTTTAAGGCATGCGAAAAAATGGCACAAAGTATTTGACTAAGAAAATTTAGATATAAATTTCGGAGGAGCAAAATATCCGAAAAAGAGTGGAGATACACGTACAACACTATAACAATATTGTTCTCTGAACTTCGGTAGTCTAACTAGATGATAAGAATTACAATGGGTAGTTTAGAGATAGAACAATATATACTTAATCACATAAATAACGCACCACATCTGACCATATATTGTAGTTCCATACATTTTTGTTTTCGCTACAAATTTGTAGAAATCTAGTATATTTTAAGTAAACCTTTGAAATTAATGCAAATTTTAAAGATACATATTCATGTTAGTTGCTACAACGGACATTTCAACTACAACATTTAAAAATCAAAAGTCTGAGATTAGTCAATTTAAAATTGGTCATTATATAGGAACTCGATTAAGAAACTAAAAATCAAATTGTTTTTTTTGTTTTGTTTTCATTTGAAAAGATAAACAAGACTTCAGTTGTTACAAATTTGTTGTTGTTTTTTTGTTGTTGTTGTTAAAAATATGTTTTTTGAGATGTCAAAAGAAATAATTTGGTGTTTATTACTTTAAGAAACGTTGTATCTACATTTTGACTCATTTAAATCATATTTTTGAAAATTTATGTGTGATAGAATTTCTTACTCCAAAGAAATTAATGAAGGTGGTGAGTTCCATTCGTTGTTGAGTATAATTCTGACAACAACAAAAACAACCGTAGATCGTACAAATTATAGTTGTAAAGGGAGATAGATGCACTTTGATCTCAAATATATAGCAATCTTTATTATTTTATCAAAAATGAACAAAGAGCACTATAAGACCCACAAAACGACTTCCATATTGTTGAAAACTTGATTATTTATGTCGTTAGGTTGCTGTCTCAATGATATTTAACCACGTCTCCTTTTATTTATTTGTAAAAACTATACATTGTTATACTAGTATATATAACTATGCATTAATTATAACATATAATTTTTGGGGTTTTCAGGCAATAAAGGGAAAGGTATGTACCTTTATCGTAAATTTTAGAAGCTCTAGATTTTCATGCATTTAAAACGCAAATAAAAATACTTGATAAGGTCAAATGTCAACTTTCATGTGACACTACGTGTATACGTCATTTGGTCTATGGTGGATAATTGTTTTATTGGCAATTATACCACATTTCTTTATTTTATATTGAAAACTGCGGAAGGGCTAGATTAATCGAAGTTTATACTGCAACTAACAACGGCTACAATAATAGCCATTTGAATAACAACATTAGTAAAACGTGTTTTCGATCTCTACACCAGCTCCTTGATGTGAAGAAATATGATACGACATGTAATTCATATTGTACAAAATAGTGGTAATATATTAAGAAATAAAAAACAGTGTTCTAGCTGCTGTATTAGTGGCTGCCTTATTAGTTTGCAAATTTACAGAAGAAAGAATAAGACGTAAAATACATGTATAAAATATAATTTAAAATACATGTATTTATGTCGTTGGGTAGCGTTCTCATTGGCGTATACCCCAAAGCTATTTGCATTCAACTTTAAAGGACAACACGTCTCTCATTTGTGTTGTAGCCATTTTCAGATCAATTGTATATCCGTAAAACCCCAAAACACATACATGTATTAACGGCAGACTCAAACAGTCATGCGAAAGAACATTCCTGTAAAGACTAAAGTATGGCGTCACTAGTTTAGTGTCTTAAACTTTAAAGTTGATCAATATTCAATAAAGGACCTTTCCCGAAAATTGTTTCTCTGATTCTTTTACATGCAGGTAGCTTCAACAGGCTACTTGAGACCGTTGTAGTGAGATTAATATCGTCCTGGTCCTGTCAATACAACTTTGCCTAAAGGTAAATCAGGCAAACATAATGATCATATAAAAGATATTTCCCAGCAATCTTCAATCTTCAGTATGTAACGAACACCAAATGTGCCAGTTTAATAACGAAGATAAAAATTTGACTGGAAATCTTTCTGATAGGATTTTGAATTTGTTTCTGTTATACCTTGCCTAACAGTGAGCCAAATTGTAATATAATGAAAGATCAGACAGGAAGTTATAGCTGTTAATTTAGCGAATGTTGGTAGACTTTTGCTGAACTTCTAGGATTTTAGAGAACAAATAAAGAATTTTTGTTCTTGTGTTCTGAAAATATTTCTTTTTGTGTCACGTGCTATGTAATACCACCCATAGCAACAAAGACAGAGACAGCAAGACAATTTGATGTTACAACACAATTTGGAGCAAGAGAAAAAATACCCCCCCCCCCAAAAAAAAAAATAAACTTTTCTATTATGGTTGCGGTCTGTTATCTATTTTTGTCATATATAGTGATATTTATTGTATCACGATGCACGGAGTGTGATACGAAACAGTAATACAAAAATGCATTAATTTTAATGGCTTATCCAGCATCGTGAGACGATATTACGACAGTTCCATTGGCTATTTGTTAGGACATTGATAAATTTCAAAGGTTTAGACGATGAACATTTCGTTCATGACAACGGATATATGTGATTTCTTCAATGATATACATGTACAAAACACTCACACTTTTCACCTGACAGTCTTGTTTTCAAATTTTGATTACACTTTGAAGCGTACAAAACGTTTTAAAATGTCAGATGTTATAGTTTGACGCCAGAACAGAATATACGACGTCATACTGGTACAATGTATGTGCAAAAGACTAGATCAATGATATGCGGATTTTTTCATTTACAAAATTAAAGTGTTGACTATAAACCATAAGAAAAATAGGTTAAACCACTCGTGAACATTGGATATTGCTTGATATCAACTCTCGTTGATTGTAATAGTATTAATAAACTCACCAAAAGGTCGTTTATTATTATATTGAAATAAAATAACTCGAATTGATATCCAATTCTCATATAGGTTATAAATTCTCAGTTGGAGAACACAGCAATTAAAAAGATCTTTTTACCTGTTAGTCTGTTTGATTTGTTCACACATTGTTGTCAATATAATGGAATTTTATGCGACTGTCAAAAAAGTGAGAGATTTAGCTAGATATAAAACCAGGTTTAATCTACCATTTTCTACATAAGGAAAAACTTGTACTAATTCGGGAATATAACAGTTGTTTTCCATTCGTTTGATGTGTTTGAGCTTTTGATTTTGCAATTTGATAATGGACTTTCCGTTTTGAATTTTCCTTGGAGTTCGGTATTTTTGTTATTTTACTTTTTACTTGTTGTAGATGCAGAGGAATGTGATGTCCAAGCTGACATAGTTGTCTTATTTGACGACTCCTCTAGTATACAATATGATAGCAAAGAAAATTATCAGATGATGAAGAACTTCGTCAAAGAGCTCGTTGACAGTTTCACATCTGTTGGTGTCAATGGTAAAAACGGGTCACAATTTGGGGTTGTGCAGTTTTCTCAAGGTGTTAAAACAGCATTCCCCTTAAATAAATTTAAAACAAAGGAGGATATAAAGAAAGGAATACAGGATATGGTACCGAGAAACGGGGGCCAAACAGAGATTGGAACTGGCCTGAAGGTAATAAGGATTTTATATGATAGTCTGGTTGGGTTTTACAGAAAAGAGAGTAATGGGCAAACAGTGCAGCATAAAAGGCAAAAGAGTATAAAGAATAGAGAAAACAAGATAAAAAAATAAAGAATAGAGAATAATGGGCCAAATAAATGAAGAATAAAGAAAAATGGTTAAAAAAGATAAAGAGTAATAAATGAAGACCCCCCCCCCCCTTCCCCCCCCCCCCCCTCTCCCAGTCCAGACCCTCTTATATGGTAAAATAGGTTGTTTCGATTCCATAGCCATGATCTGCAAGCTGATAAGAAATTCTGATTAAAATTCCTTTGCTTGGTTTTACTTTGTATATTTTCGTTTATTTAAACCAGTTAAAATACATAACTTGTACCTGAAAAATATTCAGGTGTCAAACAATATATGCCACGTTTGGTTGAAAACATTTTTGAATTTTTATTGAAAATATTTTTGTTTTCTCGTTTTGTACTCTTAAAGTCCTGACGGTTTGCACATACAAAGAGTAGATGTATTTTCAATCTTTATTTCATTGGATATACATAACAGTTCAAGTCTCGGTTGTTTTTTTTTTTTTTTTGGCAAAGAGTGCCTTCCATATGAAACCACCACCCGATAAAAAAAACATAATGCCACCCTCTACAGTTTATTCCGTGGGATGCCATATGGAACTCTTTCCTTTTTATTTTTTTATATCAGCACGTTCGAGAAAACAGCTTCAGTGGTGCAGAAGGCGGCGGTAATCCAGATAAACAAAAGATAGTGATACTGATGACCGATGGTAAAAGTAACGCCGGTGATCCACCTCAGCACGAAGCGCATAAATTGAAAAAAGCTGGCGTCACAGTCATCGCTATTGGAATTGGTAAAGGATTTGTAAAAACCGAACTTGAACAGATAGCTACGATGAAAAATTACGTCTTGACCACTAACTCCTTTTCTGAATTATCTACACTGCTCAAATTGGTAATCGAACTAGCGTGCGAAGGTAAGGAGAAACTCCTGTATAATTCTTAATTTTATTATTGTGTATATTTACATGGTGGTCTTTGCACTAACTATGTTAGTTGTTTGGCCGTTATGGAATATCTGTTTCACAAATGACAACGGATATGTTCCAATTGTCGTAACTACAATACCAGTAACATCAGTAACACGACGGGTGCCACATGTGGAGCAGGATCTGCTTACCCTTCCAGAGCACCTGAGATCACCCCAGTTAAATTATAAGGAATGACTGTAATGTTTTTTCTGTCTATGAAGAAATAACATCAAAAATGTGGTGCACACTTAATATTTTAAAGTGTGCACCACATTTTTTATGTTATTTCGAATAGACAAAAAAAATATTACAGTCATTTCTTATAATTTAATTCTTAATTCCATTTTAAACCGGAGTAAATCATGAAAAAACGTTGATCACGTCAAGGTCACATGACAAAATTATGTCTATGAGCTGATAAACAAAACAACGCCAGCCAATCGGAAGACGCGTTACATCCAAAATTAAATTATTTACGTATGTGTTAGAGATATTGGTTCAACGTATATTTGTCAGGGACGGCATAGGGAATGCTATTTACGTTTTTTTATATATAAACATTTGTCCAATGACGGAATGAGTTGACTTCAATGTCAATACAGTGGTATGTAAGAGAGTGTAAAACTTACTGTTTGCCTCCCCTTAATGATTTGTTATGACGTCATGTTGGTCTACCTTGCATTGTGTGAATCAGATATTGTTTTAGTACCTAATTTAGCCCCCAAAAAATCTATCTACAGTCGACTCTCGTTATCTCGAAGTCAGTCGGACCAGAGAGAAATGTTTCGATACCCGTAGTTCGACTTAGACTAATACCGGAAGTAATCTCTGTCCTGCCTTTTTATTTTTCACTCTATTCGGTCCTGCCTTTTTATTTTTCACTCTATTCGGTCCTGCCTTTTTTTCATTAGTTTATCCTGACTTTTTTTACATAAATTGTCATTCTGCCTTTTTTTTGCCAAATTGCTCATCCTGCCTTTTTTTAACTCAAAACTCCTGTCCTGCCTTTTTTTCAAATTTCATCCTAGAGTGATTTGTGGTATATGCCGCCCCAAAAAACAACACGATTCAAAGCTTGACATGTTGTATAGACACCTTTTTTTTTATTCAAATCTGTTTTATAGTTATTTTTGTCGATGGGTAGCTGGTTAACCCGAAATTTCATTTTATTCATTGATAAAAATAAGTTGAAAAGGGCGTGACTCTTTACGTCGTCACAAAGCACAACAGACCAACTAACAAAAAAAAAAAACAACAAAAGACACGAAGTAACGACATAGGATAACTTGCTGTTATTGATAGCTAGTCCAAAGTCTAGTTTCAACACAAAATAATCATGTTTTCCTAGACATAAATATCAACCACAACTTTTCAATCACCCGTTCCATCATTGCCTTGATATTTTGCCCTGCTGCGGCGTAAACACTGGAAACAATCTCCATTTAACGATTTCGACCTTTATCATATCATTGTTTATTGAATCAAACAGACATTTACCACATCTTTTTGTATTTACACATACATATATAGATACCAAATGTGTAGGTCAAAAAGTGGGGGGGGGGGGGGGGGGATGGGGGCAGGAAGATGATTCATACGGATTCATCAATTTTGGCAATATAAAGAGTGATAAAATCGAGGAAAATGGAGATGATGACGAAGCCTGAATCTTACATGCAATTGAAAAATAACGGGTTTATCGTATTTATGCAGTTAAAAACCAAAATATGTTGTATTTCTAAACGTTTTATTGCTATTAGTGGCGAACTTTACACTTTTAAGTAAAAGAAGTATATTGTGTAATATCATATACTATAATCATTTGTTCGATTGATTGTTGTTTGCTTAACGTTCAGTGGCAAATAATTCCTACATGTTTAGGGAGAGAACAAATAAATAATTATCCTGTAATAGGGGTTGACCAGGATGAAGAGCGGTAAACTTGGACTGCCACTGGAAAATGAGGGTTCATTGGACAGGATCAGAAATTTATAATTGCAACAGTCCACCTACGGACCCCTCAAAGAGTTATAATAAAGGTTCTTAACGTACAGATAGCGTTACATTCCTTCCACAAGAGACATCGGATTTAACGTCCCCATTGTGACTGGTCGTGGCTGCGTATTTATACACCCCCCACAACCAAACAGACTAACCGCTTTGGCAAGGGTTTTACTGCCGGTCGATAGAAGATCAAAATTGACAATTTTTCTATTCCACAGTCATCCTCGGGGACCTTTTAATATCTGATAGTTTAATATTTTCAATGCCTTTTATACATTTATCATAGATTTTTTTCATATGTAAGAAACTACATTTTGTACATGTATAATATAATACTGTGGCTTTGTTTATTATTCGTGAGGTACCAATTTTCGTGGTTTTCTAGGGTACAATTGAATCACGAAATCAATTCAAATGTTCAGTAAAGTAAACAGCTTCATTAGGCTTGTATACAGACTTTTGTAAAACCACGGAATCAAAAATATAAGAAAATACAATTTTTCCTTAGTTCACGAAAATTGTCACCAAGAATAGAAATTAATCCATCGTATAATGAACATTAACGTTTTATTTTTAGTTTGTGTGGTCGACTGTGCCGGACATGCTGACATAGCGTTTGTTTTTGACGCTTCTTCTAGTATCAACGCTAACAACCCAAACAATTATCAGTTGATGAAAAATTTCATGAAAGACATCGTTGATAGGTTCAACAAAACTGGTCCCGACGGAACACAGTTTGCTGTAGTAACGTTTGCTGACAAGGCCACGAAGCAGTTTGGATTAAAGGACTACTCAACCAAAGCTCAAATCAAAGCAGCAATTCAAAAAGTTATGCCATCTATTATAGGACAGACAGCAATTGGGGATGGATTGGAGGTAAGCATTAATCGGATTGCAATTAAGGGGCACTAAACAACTTTCATTTCCCTCGTTTTATTTGTGTTTGGTTTTTTTTTTTCAATTTGTGTATTGGCCATTTAGTTGTTTGTCTTTCTTTACCTTATGACCTCTGATTGTCGTCATGATATCGTTTAACCTTCTTGAACTCTGTATTTGATATACTTCTATGAGACACCAACCCAACAAAAAAAGACCCAACAAAATACACGTAAGCAGTAGCATAGTCTTCAACAATAGAAATATGTATTTACAATATGACACCGTTATTGACCCCTGACAACGTTCATAGCCACTGGCGAGGTTGGCAATTATGTTTTCTTGTGTTCTCGGAAGAATAACTTTACCATATGAATGAGATTAGTAACTAGGGAGGGGTCTCTATGGCCGAGTGGTCTTTGCAGTTCAACAACTGTATCACTAGCCTGTGAACTCTGATTTTGTGAGTTATAACGCTACATGTTCGACTCCAATCTTAATTGACTAGGATTTTCAGTTTTCCTCCCGAAGGTCGGTGGTTCTATCCGGACACTCCGGCTTCCTCCATCAATAAGCACTGACCGTCACGAAGTAGCCAATAGTGCTAAAAGTGGCGTAAAGCACTAGAAATCAATCAATCAGTCAACCAATTAAATATGGTCGCATTTTGTAAAACACTAAAGCACCTATTGATTTACGTAAGAAACATTCGGGGCATTCGAACTTGCAATAAAAAAACACACACACACGAAAATGAGACAGAAAAAACTTGAATACTAACAATTGATGGTAAATAGAAAATAAAACATAAACATACAATACCACGGTGCTATCCTATCCAAACAAACTTAAGCTTTAGTACAGTTACTATTGTGTTTTATACAAGAAAATTGACCTAAAGCTGACAGTTGATATCAAATTCGCCGTTTCAGAATGTAAAGGCATTGTTCGTACCACAAAATGGAAATAATGTCTCGTCATTGAATCAATATCCATCGTGTTGATCGATTTTAACGAATCACAATGTTTTATTGTACGACTTTAAAAATATTACCCAAATTACATTGTTATCTGAATTTGTCTGCAACTTGAAGACCAAGACTATTGAAAGCTCTTATACCATTTGGGCATACGTCAAACGATATAAACCGTTTAAGGACCACGATATTTCTATTCTAGTTCAATGTACAAAATGTAATTCGGTGTGAGCCAAGGCTCCCTGTTGAAGGCCGTACTTTGACCTATAATTGTTCACTTTTTATACATTGTGACTTGGATGGAGAGTTGTCTCATTGGCATTCATACCATATCTTCTTATTTATATTGTGAACATAATTTTTTGTCGATTTGACGCTAACCACATACTAGTACTTCTTTTTTTATATGTAACCAAACAGTTATATCTGTAAACATATTCGAGGACTAATGCTCGTTGTTCAATACCCTATATTAACCTGCGCAATAAAAGTACATTGTAGATACTATCTTTCTTAAGTTGATATTTTTTTCTCTCTGCAGTTTGTAACAAATCTTATCATTTTAACATATGCAACATTTTTCGTATATTTCTTTAGGTTATGTGTTACAAATTATTATGTTTTGTCTTTCCAAGAATGCTAGGTTAGAAATCTTTCCGAATCGGAATGGTGGAGGACGTGAGGAAGTACAGAAGGTGGTAATTCTGTTAACAGATGGCAAAAACAATGGTCATAAATCACCTGAACATGAGTCTTCATTACTTAGGAAGGAAGGCGTTGTCATAGTTGCCATAGGAGTTGGAACAGGATTTCTTACAAGCGAATTAAATAACATAGCCTCATCCGAAGAATACGTCTTTACAACAACCTCATTCGACAAATTATCAAAAATTATGGATGATGTTGTTAAACTAGCCTGCATGAGTAAGAATTTATACATATGTTTGTTTTCTTTTTTTTTTATAGAAAATATTGTTTTCGTTTATACTGCAATAGAAAATTTATTTATTACATTCTAAATGCATCTGAATACTGGAAAAAAAATTTTCGGGAAGGATCTGTTTTCGGTAATTTTAATATTTAGATAACATCGCGGAAATATTTGATGTTGATGAAAATCATAATCATGGACAAGAACAATGCGAAAGTATATGTAATACTTACCGAACAAGTTTGGCTGTAGAAATCGCGATATTTCAGTTTTGAAAAAAGAACAATTTTAGAAATCGCGATATTTCAATTTTGAAAAAAGAACAATTTTTAAATCTTGTTGACCTAATATGCAAACGCCTCTCCATTTGTTTTACTATTCGTTAAAAAAGTAAAATTATACCCTTAACCACATTTTTTTCTCCAAGGCTTATATTCTGTAAGAATTCTCAGTGTTTGTCAAGATGAATGGTAACAAATATTAGTATACACTGTACAATTTAAATATTTGCGTTCCGAATGACAATAATTTCCAAAACTGTATAACAAAAACAGTCAAAAACTGTATAAGGAAAACAGTCAAAAACTGTATAAGGAAACAGTCAAAAACTGTATAACAAAAACAGTCAAAAACTGTATAACAAAATCAGTCAAAAACTGTATAACGGAAACAGTCAAACTCGTTCCGATAAAATTTGCGGGTTTTCAAGAGAATATACGCTGTGTCATAATTTGGTGACTTTATTGCAAAACAATCAACATATGGTCGAACAGACGAATTATAGTGTTGTCGAGGTCGAACAGACGAATTATTGTGTTGTCGAGGTCGAACAGACGAATTATAGTGTTGTCGAAGTCGAACAGACGAATTATAGTGTTGTCGAGTGTTCAAATCAATGGGAATGTGAATTGATGAATTTAAACAATTTCTTTGAAAAGAATAATCACAAGTTTACCTAATAATCTCTTTTCGATTTTATTTCGTACAATTAATCTGTCATGAAATAGAAGTTTATTCATAAAATTATACTTGTTCTAAATGGAAGAAATGGTCTGTAATACTATTTCCACTGGAACAAATATTACAAAATTTGTTCCTTATGGAATGAAGGATATAGAATATTTGTTCCAACAAGACCCGATATTATGATATTGTTTATAACAAAGTTTTCAGGAAATCTTCTGTGAAACAAATACACGTTGACACTTCATATATATTAGATTTTCCATGCGCGTCTTTGCTAATTCTTTTTCAAGTATATTCCGACATTTTTGGGCGATAACTTATATGGTTGAAGTTTCGCAATTGAAGCCACATGTATTTTACAGGTTGTAAGCCACGTGCACACAAGAAAGGATCAGGAGGTAAGAACGTTAACATTCAAATAACATTGTCTCGTGGACATCTTATTGCTATTCTTCATCAAAGAAGTTACTCGAAAGATTTCAAATAAACACATACCTATATCGGAGTTGTAACGCTTATAAATTAAACTAAATCTCTTAGAGATATTCAATTGTATAGATTACTTTACACAATCTAAATAAGTGCAAACATGAGGTTCTGGATATGATTTACGAAATCGAGAGTAATAGGCCAATACTACAAAAAAATGAACCCAAAATGAAGAATGGGGAAAATAAGCTAAAATAAAGAATAGGGAATAATGGGGTGCTAAAACATAGAGAATAAAAAATAATGGATAAAAGATATAAAGAATAAACTTTAAGACAAATTACCTAAAAATTTAAAGAAATCAGAAATGAAGGACTTTATCCAGACCCTCATAATTGGACAAGTGTTCACTTTGACAATTCAAGGATATTAGCAACAATGCATTACTGTTATTTAAAAGAGAGCAACACTCGATGATGTATATGTAGTGTCTTTCTGCGGACAAAAAGTAAACAAAAACATTGAAATCATGAAAGTGCAATTTCTTTTTAATATTCAGTCATTGGACAAAAGTGAGTTCCCGAGATGGCGGATGCATCATTACGGACTATTCTGGAGAGGCAGAATGAAACTTTTATGAATATGTTAGAAATAAAGAAAACTTACCTTTTTTGACTTATACTTTGTTATAAATCCCTTAGCTCTTAAAACAGTCCCAATTCGTGTTGGTAGGGTTTTGTCAGTCTTTGAAAGTACTGGAGTTGAAGTGATGTCCAGATTTCCGGCACGACAGTTATCAAGTCTCCGGCATTGGAAATATCATTTATTCTCCGTTGGACACGAATTTGTATCACTTTCCACACGTTTTCAATTATGTTCATGTCTGGGCGGCTTTGAGGCGGCCACGATAATGTTGGAATATCAATTTCTGTCTTCCACTGATTTGACTGTCGGCACACATGGCATGGAGCATGGTCTTCCTATAAGATGAACGGGTCGACATAAAAATGTCTAGCGATCACAGGCCACAAGTTCTCATCTAAAATATTTATATATTCCACAATGTTTAAGTTTCCTTTGATGGTGTTAGAGTCCCCACCCGATGGTATTAAATCCATCCCCAAAAAATGACAAAAAATCTAGCTTTGTAGGTTTTCCCGTGGTACAGTCAATTAAATACTGGTCGTAATCGTTCAGCAATTTTACGCCACACATAACTGCGTTGTTGTTTCCAATCTCTATTTTTGTCTCATCCCTAAAAAATACTTTTTTCCTATTTTCCCGCACTATCCAATTAAGTTTTCACGACACAATCGTTTTTCTATTCTCACGATTTACTGGTGAAATTGTTGCTTTCTTCGAAACTGTGTCTCTTGTGTTACCATTAAAATCAAGGTGCGGTCTGACTGTCCTAGAACAAGCAGGGTTCAAGTTCTGACCATTAAATGCATAGATGATTTCACCTAGATCCACGGTCGCGAAACCTGTTTAAGAATTTGTTGATGGTTCTCATATTCCTTCCTAGCAATGCCGATGTCCATATCTTATGCCCAAAATAGCCTTGTTCTGGCAATCCTATAACATTTTTTTTCTCCTCTGGTAACATCTTTTTCCATGGGCGTCATGTTTAAAGCAGACGAATTATTTGTTTATTTACGTCGTTACAACGGCAAAAAAGTCGGTAAAAATGGTTCTTGTCCAAGTGGACGATTTCCCAACTATGCATCGGCCATTTTGGGAACTCACTTTTGTCCAATGAGTGTAAGTACCAAATAACAACTCTTGTGTAACATGCAATTGTATATAGAGAAAACAGTTTCAGTGTCTCGATTCTAAATTTCTCAGCAATGACACCCCCACCCCCCACCCCACATGTATTTTTCCTACTGCATATGCAATTTTGACACTTTAGCATTTACCCTTTGACGCTGGTAATCCTTTGCATAAAAATAAGAAGATATGGTACGATTGCAAATAAGATAACTCCCTACTAGATATACCAAATAACGTAGAAGTATACTGTATGAGTATATGCTATTGAATTGATGAAAGATGACTTAAAGGTTCAATATGTATATCATATAAAAAAACACATTCATAAAACAAGTCAAACAGAAGTGTTATATATATCACGGAGTTGTAGGTCTATTAATAGAAGGGAATGTGGAGTATACATCATTGAAACTGAAACCAAACGACACAAAGCAAAACATATGCACATCTAAAAGTAAACATACTGTCTTCATAAATAAGCAGATGTCTTTACCAGATAACAATTCCTTAATAACCAAATATAGATCTGCCATCAACATCATTTTTCGAAACTACACATACTGTACTATGCTATGACAAAAGGCATTCACTAACTATTCGGACAGGTACATGCACGTGTGGCTTTTAGAATTTAACTAGTTTTTCTAGTCTCCCCCGTTTTTTAATCTCGATGATTGGACTCTAAAAGGTACAGACAAGAACGTATAATACAAAAAATAGTATAGGTAAGTCACTTATCTCTTTCAAAATCAGCTGATATGATTGCACTCAGTACTATGTACACTCTAATATGAATTGGAGTACTTCTATATTATTGTATTCAGAAATGTGGGGTTACTATATAGGAGAAATTCTGATTTTTCATGCAGAAAAAAAAGTAAAACATTTCATGTTTTAAATTAGCGAAATGATGTTCATCCCGAAATACTTGACAACAACATGTCATCAAACATTTACATTACAGGTGGACATGTACCCAGTCCTAATGTGTACACACCATCACCTCCAGTATACACAGCACCACCCCCAGTTTACACACCAGCACCACAACCAGTATACAACACACCAACACAGCAAGTATACACACCAGCACCATCACCAATATACAACACACCATCACCGCCTCAAGTGTACACTGTAGGACCACCAGTTTATACACCACCACCACCACCAGTGTATACAGTAGCACCACCACCATATGTAGAACCGCCAACATATACAGTAAAACCATCACCATATGTAGCACCGCCAGTGTACACCGCGGCTCCAGCAGACACTCCTGCACCATCAGGTAATATTATGGTATAAATATGTCAATGGTCATACAAGTTACCTTTTAATATCAGCCAAAACAGTGCTAACGATAGTATTCCAATTACATATCAAAGATAGCAGGTTGATAAGCAGTTATGTATTTTTGATTTTGTTTTGACTCAACCTAATTAGTCTGAGGTATATATTATCTATCAGAAATGCCAGAATACATGTACAACGTTACGCTTATCTTTTTTCGTCTGATATTTTACATGTAATGTAATTTAAAAATAAGGAGATACATGTGTGGAATGAATGCTAGTGAGACAAATATTTTTTTTTAATTTTTAAAGTTCTTTTTAAAAATACTGCAATCAATGATGAGCAAACTAATATCGTATTGTAAGCATGAAAATGAAACAATGCAAGTGGGAAAACGCATGGCCACATTTAAGTTAATGATATACTAGTATAACGAAAAAAAATCTTGCGTTTATTTTCGACTTATGAGTTTAAATGTCCGTCTGGTTTCTTTCGCCTCTCTTTTAACTATGCTATATTTAACAGGAAACAAATGATCACCCGGATACTGTAAGCACTATGGGTATTGTATAGAGATTCAGTGTTCATTAATTAACTATGCTATATTCCACAGGAATCCAATGCTCATCCGGATACTGTAAGCACTATGGGTATTGTATAGAGATTCAGTGTACATTAATTAACTATGTAATATTCAACAGGAAGCAAATGCTCACCAGATTACTGTAAGCACTATGGGTATTATATAGAGACTCAGTGTACATTAATTAACTACAGTGGAGATCACTTCTAACCTCTCATCAAATCTGTCAGAATCTGTCAGGAGAACTGTTCTAGGACAGTATGTAGAACTGTCATCCTGACACCTTTTAGACAGTTCTAGCTAGAGCAGTTCTAACCTAGAACTGATTTGGTCAGTTCTACCTAGAACTGATTTAGTCAGTTCTACCTAGAACTGATCCTGACAGTTCTGCCCTAGAACAGTTTTAGACAGTTCTACCTAGATCTGACCAAATCTTTGGACAGTTCTAGGACTAGAACAGCTCTACGGCTAGAACAGTTCTACGACTAGAACAGTTCTACGATTAGAACTGATTTGGTCAGTTCTACGGCTAGAATTGATTTAGTCAGTTCTATCCATAGTACAGTTTTAAGAACTCTTTGTCAGAAATATAAATAGGTCAAAAGAATATAATATATATTAAAAAATTCTCATCACAGCACTGTTTTAACATTTCTCTAACTGCAGTGACGTCATTTAGAACTGTTCTACAATCCTGACAGTTCTACGGTTAGAACTGATTTAGTCAGTTCTGCTGACAGTTCTACGGTTAGAACTGATTTGGTCAGTTCTGCTGACAGTTCTACGACTAGAACTGATTTGGACAGTTCTACCTAGAACAGTTTCAGACAGTTCTACCCTAGAACTGATCCTGACAGTTCTACCTAGAACTGGTTTAGTCAGTTCTTCCTAGAACTGATTCTGACAGTTCTACTTAGAACAGTTCTAGGGTAGAACTGTTCTAGGTAGAACTGTTCTAGGACAGTTTAGAACAGTTCTATGACAGATTATTCTGACAGTTCTAATGAGAGGTTAGAAGTGATCTCCACTGTATGTTATATTCAACAGGAAGCAAATGCTCACCAGGATACTGTAAGCACTATGGGTATTGTATAGAGATTAAGTGTACATTAATTAACTATGTAATAATCAACAGGAATCAAATGCTCACCATGATATTGTAAGCACTACATGTATTGAAAAGAGATTCAGTGTACATTAATTGACTATATTATGTTCAACAGGAATCAAATGCTTACCCGGATAATGTAATCACTATAGGTATTATAAAGAGATTCAGTGTACATTAATTGACTATGCTTTATTCAACAGGAAGCAAATGCTCACCAGGATACTGTAAGCACTATGGGTATTGTATAGAGATTCAGTGTACATTAATTGACTATATTATGTTCAACAGGATTCAAATGCTCACCCGGATACTGTAAGCATTATGGGTATTGTAAAGAGATTCAGTGTACATTAATTAACTATGCTTTATTCAACAGGAAGCAAATGCTCACCAGGATACTGTAAGCACTATGGGTATTGTATAGAGATTCAGTGTACATTAATCAACTATGTAATATTCAAAAGGAATCAAATGCTCACCCGGATACTGTAAGCACTATGGGTATTGTATAGAGATTCAGTCTAAATTAATTAACTATATTATATTCAACAGGATTCAAATGCTCACCCGGATACTGTAAGCACTATGGGTATTGTATAGAGATTCAGTGTACATTAATTAACCATGCTTTATTCAACAGGAAGCAAATGCTCACCAGGATATTGCAAGAACTATGGATATTGTATGGACATGGGAAGTAAAGCACAATGTCTGTGTTCTTCTGGATATACTGGTGATAGATGTGAGAACAGTAAGTGGATGCATTTTAATGGATTACTAAATGGTATTCTTCGAAACAAAGGATTACTAACAGTGCTAGTGCTGAAATGTAACATTATGGGGTTTTGTATTATTGTTTTTAAATAACACAAATGCAACACCCCAATTGACATATTACAAATATACATCACACAAATATATAAATTACGAAAGTACATATCACAAATGTACCATGTAGCAATACAATATGGAAAAATCAAATTAGATATTTAAATTACATAGTTGCATAGTTCGAATTCCAATTCTCAAACCTTCAATTGTCGAATTGCACTGTAACAAATTAAGAATTGCAAAGATAGAATTTCAAAATAGCGTTACATACATACAGTTTAAGAAATATAAAATTGGAATAATGGCACGTTTTGGCTTTCCATATTATGTAACTTTTATGAAATAGAAAAGAGCTCACAACGCTATATATCAATGCACACAACACATGTCCTGAAATAATCTGCATTGGGAATATTGTGGTTTTCAAATACAAATGTACATGATGAGGTGTACAGATCTTGAATAGAGAATAATATTAAAAAAAGAAGAGAATGAATAAAAAACAATAAAGAAAAGGGAAAAATAGCCTAACCCCAAATAAAAAAGAGAACAGTGGAATAAAAGTTAAAAAATTCAAAAAATAACATCCCCATTCTACCCCTCATACATAGAAAATAAGGGTCGATTAAATAAATGAAACTACATATCAAGAGGTATCCATTATCATATTATATCATACTAGATCTGACGATCTGGCCACTGCACGGACCAATCAAACGAGCCGTAACACTGAAGAAATGCAACCATGTTTGTGTCATTGATTTATTCAACGGATACACATACATAACTATGTAAAAGAAGGAATTACAGAAACTTATCTAAACAAAACATTTTCTCTTTTTTATAATTTACAAATTAAAACCTCATAATTACTACGTTGATATAAAGATTTTTAGTGTTCACAGATAAATGACCGTAAAAAGCACAGTATCATTTTAAAATGTTTTATTGTACATTGCGTGTGTATACACATGGAATCAAAGATTTAATAAGGTAGGCATTATTGAAATGTCCTTGCTTTGTAGTATAAAACAGTCTTTTATAAACACTATTGAAACTTAAGGATGTTCGCTCCTCTTAATTTTGAATTTTGTCAGACATTCGGAATTCTCTGGTTTTATCAATGTTTTGCCATTAACAATTTTGCCCGTTTACCCCTACATTGCTTTTCATAATTTTATTACACAAAGCTTAAAAAGCTATATTTGAAAATCCAGAGTGAATATTTTGCAGCCAAATATGCGACGGCTTATATCTAGAAAACAAGGACATCGACCGTTGATTTTTTCTGTTTTTTTAGTTCTGTTATTTATAAACTTTCAATTTAAAAAGCTTGTTATTTTGAAACAGAGTAGCGAACATCCTTAATGCAGAACATTTGTTATTATAATTATAGAACGACTGTGAAATTTCTTACTGTAAACAGCTATTTTCAAATAAACATGATCGATTTATTACTTGTTAACGATGCAATATAAAACTCAGCGGATGTGGTATGATTGCCAATGTGACGACTGTCCACCAGATACTAAATGAAGTATTAGTTTGCAACTGTAGGTCACCGTACGGGCTTCAACAATGAGCAAAACCCATAATGGATATCAAGCTACTTTCTGTACTAGCTTTTCTTTTTTCTATATTATATTAGAAGGTTCAAGTAGTTCATCGGGCTCTGAAACATATGTGCCACCTAGTACACCAGAACCGTATGTGCCTACACCAAAACCGTATGTGCCTGCACCAGAACCGTATGTGCCTGCACCAGAACCTTATGTGCCTGCACCAGAACCTTATGTGCCTGCACCAGAACCTTATGTGCCTGCACCAGAACCTTATGTGCCTGCACCAGAACCGTATGTGCCACCTACTTCACCAAATACATACGTTCCAGAAACAACGGTTGTCCATGGAAGACCGGGTAAACATGGCAACCCAGGCACACCTGGCGGACCGGGATCGGATGGAAATCCAGGAACACCAGGTAAAATATTACATAATGTCATTCAGTAATTTTTCTTTTTTTAAAGTTTAAGATATGGATTAGATACTATTTAGAAACTAGAATCCGGTCTCGCTTTCCCTGAATGTGACCTGCTAAATTAAACTTATTACCGGGTTTGCACTGACATGGGCAACACAACGGGTGCCATATATGTAACAGGATCTGCTTACCCTTCCGAAGCACATGAGAATACCCGGTGTTTGGTTGGGTTCGCGTTGCTCAATCTTTTTCTATGTTGTGTTTGTATACTGTTGTTTTTCTGTTGATCTTTTTCTTTTAAGCCATGGCATTGTCAGTTTATTTTTGACTTATGAGTTTGAATGTCCATTTGGTAACGTTTGCTTCTCTTTTTAAATAATGGAGATTTCTTGATGTACTTTTTTTTAATGCAAATGAATGAAAGTTAAGTTATAATTATAATAACCGCTAAAATATTTATCATGATATTCAGATATACATATTCAGTTAATAAATCAAACTTCACTACAGTTGTGAAAATATTTTGATAGCCAAACAAACTCGTGCACTAAAAATAGATCTTAGGTCTATTACAAATGAATTTTGACAGTTATGAGACGTTGTTTCATTACGAAGAGTTAAATATGAATACGTGGGCAAGAAATTAAATATATTCCGTTTCAATTGATCGTTTATATTTTAATTGTGTACTTTTTCTCCATAACCCTTTGTTCACCTCACAAATTCATAAAATATTCAAAACAATTAACGTTCTGTATCTATATGATTTCTACAATGGTATTCCAATTAGTACGTGTTAAAAATATTTGTCACTATTTTCTAAAAACAAATCAATATTGTCTTCATTGTAAAATTCACCACATCTAACAAGGATATTAACTCGTTGGGTAAGTTAGTCGACTAAATAACAACCTTATACAAGTAGCACACCATCGACCGATTATCTTTGAACGATTCATAGTTCTGTCCATTGTTGTAAATATAAAAAAAGAAGATGTGGTATGATGCCAGTGAGACAACTCTTCACAAGAGATCAAAATGACCCAGAAATTAACAACTATAGGTCACCATACGGGGTTCAACAATGAGCAGTGCCCATATTCAGCATTAATAGACACACTGACACAGGCAGTGTTCATGATTCTCTCTTTCCATTAACTAGGACAACCAGGAAACCCAGGACCTCCAGGCCAACCAGGACCAAATGGTGAACCAGGGGACAGAGGGGCTGATGGAAACCCAGGCTCTCAGGGACCAGCAGGAGAGAGAGGTCAAGATGGAAAAAACGGTATACCAGGTAAGCATTACGACCATTTATTCAATTTACGACAAAGAACTGCGACTACTCAATTATAATATCTGCTGTACATGTACCAGTCTTTCAGCGAAAAAAAAATCGCCATCTGAATCACAATGAAAACTTCTTTTGTTGAAAGAGAAATTAGTTGATTTGACAACTATCTGGTGATATTAAATTTGTGATTGAAATTGCATCTGTTTTGAAATAACGAAATCTGATTAGCTTTAGATGCTTATGTTTTTCTCATATATTATATGACGGTATAATACTAAACCTCTAACAGGAGGGATTGTGCCTGATATTCATATGATGAAGACATAATCTTTCAATCAGTTTAATTGAGGTCTGGAGCTGGCATGTCAGTAACTGCTAGTAGTCTGTTGTTATTTATGTATTATTGTCATTTTGTTTATTTTCTTTTGTTTCCTATTCTGACATCGGACTCGGACTTCTCTTGAACTGAGTTTTACTGTGCGTACTGTTGTACGTTTGTATTTTCTACATTGGCTAGAGGTATAGGGGGAGGGTTGAGATCTCAAAAAACATGTTTAACCCCGCCGCATTTTTGCGCCTGTCCCAAGTCAGGAGCCTCTGGCCTTTGTTAGTCTTGTATCATTTTTAATTTTAGTTTTTTGTGTATAATTTGGAGTTTAGTATGGCGTCCATTATCACTGAACTAGTATACATATTTGTTAAGGGGCCAGCTGAAGGACGCCTCCGGGTGCGGGAGTTTCTCGCTGCATTGAAGACCCATTGGTGGCCTTCGGCTGTTGTCTGATCTATGGTCGGGTTGTTGTCTCTTTGACACATTCCCCATTTCCATTCTCAATTTTATTATGATTTACCTAGCAAGCTTATCATATATTTCATTTCAATTTTTCGACACTAACACAAGTTATCAAGCTTGAAATCAAAACCCATGCAAGCGGATTATCAGTGCCTCTTTCCGAGATCAAGAACAAATGGGTAAGATTTATTTGTATTCTTATTTATGATTTATGTTCAATGATGTAAGTGATACTAAGTTTCCTTCCTGTAAGATCAGCTTGACCTTCCGGAGCACCTGGGATCCCTCCCGCGTTTTGGTAGAGATCGTATTGCTCAGTCTTTATTTTTCTAGGTAATATTGAGTGGACTGTTATTCTGTTGTTTGTTTTTAATCGGTTTTTGACATGTCGTTGTCAGTTTATCTTCGACTTATGAATTTGAATATTTCTTTTGTGTTTGTTTTGAAGGCAAGCTATGAGTGATATGCTATAAAAGATGTAAGATATTTGTTGCATTTAAAAGGGCTGTAAAGAAAAACTAAGTCAGCATGCTAATTTCACAAATGAAACAGTTTTACACTGTAATTCAAAACTTAATAAATTATTACTTTATTTCAAATAAAGGTAAACCAGGATCAGATGGCTACCCCGGTCGACCCGGTGGTAAGGGACCAAATGGAATGAGAGGAGCTAAAGGGGAACCAGGAGATCCTGGTCAACCTGGACGTGATGGTCAGTAATAAATGTATAGGGAATTGTTTTCTTCATTAAAATTACTAACGCCATATTCAAAGATATATATCTAACTCATGTCCATTCCATTATACATTATTCATAACAAAAACTCTTCTGCAAATATAAATTTATTCAATTAGAAAAAAAAATAAAACGGTTAAGAAAATACTGCATGATCTTGTTAACACTTATCATATGATTACGGTTGCTTTATCTTAATATGATGAGTATACATGTACTTTTGATTATAATGTTTTATCCCTCATTCTCTCACTAAAGTGTACTAAAACAGAAAAGACATGTCGGAGGTAGGAAATGATGATACAGTTGTGTTAATATCTAATCTCCCTTCCAAACGGTCAGAATAATCTGTCGTAGAACTGTTCTAATATGTCAGAAACACTTTTCTAAAACAGTTCTACCCTAGTTTGTTTCAAAGACTGTTCTAGAACAGTTCTTCTGACAGTTTCTGTCCGATTTTAATAATTAAGAAATTATCTCAACTGTACTGACCATTTTTGGCATGATGCATAGCTAACATTATTTTTATAGCTATGTGTCATGGAACATAGAATTATCAATTTTTTATACATTAATTGATTTGAAATCTATATTATAGGCACACCAGGAACAGATGGGAAAAATGGACTTGATGGAAAAGATGGCAAGTGTCATATCACATAAGGGATAAAAAATCAACAGGATAAGGGAGCAGTTGTTTCCATTTTTAGTCCACAATGCTTTTCAATTTTGTACTTCATAATTTGCCTTTTCGCTTTTTTCTATTCGATCGTCACTGATCAGTCTGTTGTAGACGAAACGCTGGTCTTACAAAATTATAAACCTGTTATCGTCAAGAAACACTCGCCTTATAAAATTATAAGCCTGTTATCGTCGAAAAACGTTCGTCTTACAAAATTATAAGCCTTTTATCGTCGAAAAACGCTCGTCTTACAAATTTATAAGCCTGTTATCGTCGAAAAACGCTCGTCTTACAAAATTATACGCCTGTTATCGTCGAAAAACGCTCGTCTTCCAAATTTATAAGCCTGTTATCATCGAAAAACGCTGGTCTTACAAATTTATAAGCATGTTATCGTCGAAAAACGCTGGTCTTACTAAATTGTACGCCTGTTATCGTCGAAAAACGATGATCTTACAAAATTATAAGCCTGGTATCGTCGAAAAACGCTGGTCTTACAAAATTATAAGCCTGTTGTCGTCGAAAAACGGTGGTCTTACAAAATTATAAGCCTAGTATTGTCGAGAAACGCTCATCTTACAAACATTATAAGCCTGGTATTGTCGAAAAACGCTCGTCTTTCAAAATTTTAAGACTGGTATTGTCGAGTAAAGCTCGTCTTTCGAAATGTTAAGGCTGATATTGTCCAGAAACGCTCGTCTTTCAAATTTTAAAGCCTGGTATTGTCGAGAAACGCTCGTCTTACAAAATCATAAGCCTGGTATCTTCGACGAGTCTTTTGTTTTCAAACCTTGAGACAAAAAAAATATCTCGTCCCGATTTCCTCTATTCGGTTCAAAGAGTCAGTATTTATACATAATTAAAAAATATACCATACCAATTACTTTATTTTGCATCTGAATTTGTTCCCCATTGTAGTTGTCCCTTGATTTTGTCTTATATCCAAAACATTATTCATGTTATTTGAAAGTATATTCTGCAAACATGTTCATGAACAAACGTGCAAATAGTTGTTTAAATTCTCGTCCTTAGGAAGCTACCATTTGATTTTTATGGGGGGCCAGGATGAACAATTTTGTCCTGCACATATTTTTTAGTTGTAATCGCTGTCCTGCCTTTTTATTTTTCACTCAATTCGGTCCTGCCTTTTTTTTTTAATCAAAACTTTTGTCCTGCCTTTTTTTAAAATTTCACCTGAAATAACAGGTTGTGGTTTAAGAAAAACGAGGCTAGAAACACACAAAATACATCTTAAATAACAGGTTGTGGTTTCAAGGAAAACGAGGCTAGAAACACACAAAATACATCTTAAATAACAGGTTGTGGTTTCAAGGAAAACGAGGTTAGAAACACATAAAATGCATCTTAAATAACAGGTTGTGGTTTCAAGGAAAACGAGGCAAGAAACACAAATATACATCTTAAGTAACAGGTTGTGGTTTCAAAGAATACGAGGTTAGAAACAAATAAAATGCAAAATGTTTTGCATGATTCAATGTATATTTGCCAATCTTTTTTTAATTTTTCGTATTTTGCAGGTACAATACATGTTGTGCTTGATAAAGGAAAATACACAATAGGACCAATAGGTGAGTTTAAAATGAGGTTTGTATCCCTTAATGTCAAGTGGTTTCATGGTTAACGAGATTTAATTTATTTCCTCACAATCATATTGCATGGGGAGATAATTTTTTAAATTTACCTATATAACGATTAATACCAAGATGGCGTTAAATGAACTTGGATACTCTGTATTTATCATGTTTTTCAATAACATATGATCAAGACCCCCTCCTAAATTATTAAAAACTATCATTCTGCATTAACAATAATATATTATTATACTTCACGTTAAAATGCCATATTTTGATTGACTAATTCGAGGGTGTTAATTTACTCTATTACCCTTCATGGAGACGCTTGATCAAGTGTGCGCTTTATTAAATACGACTCTATCATATGGCAAATACTCTATTACCCTTCACGGAGACGCTTGATCAAGTGTGCGCTTTATTAAATACGGATGGCTAATATGTACAAGATGTCATAGTTTATTACTTTGAATTGGAAATTTATAACAGAACATTCAGTATAATAAATTAAATAACACGTATCTGAGAGGGTGATAGAGCAGATGGTTACCCCTCGAAAAGACATTGTCAACCTTGGCTTCGCCTCAGTTGACAATGTTTTCTCGGGGTAACAATCTGCTCTATCACCCTCTCAGCTATGTGTTATTTATATATTGGTGTAAATTAGATACACCCATTCGTGCTTATACATACAAGTGAATAGTAGTTATATGATTTGAAATAGAAAGTCATACATTCGCTTCTTTTCATTGGTAATAATGACAAACCTATGTTCTGGCTATGATAATTTACACTTAATTTACATAGAAGGATACGCTGGACCAGAGAGAGGTTTAGCTAGCTATAAAACCAGGTTTAATCCACCTTTTTCTACATGCCTGTACCAAGTCAGGAATATGACAGTTGGTTTCCATTCGTTTGATGTGTTTGATCTTTTGATTTTGCAATTTTATAAGGTACTTTCCAATTTGAATTGTCCTTGGAGTTCGTTATTTTTGTTATTTTACTTTTTAGGTATATAGATATACGACAAGGTTATAAAATGTCTATAAGCTGTCGCCATATCATATAACAAATTATTTTGTAAAACTTATCAAATACTTGAGTCATAATTATCAAATACTTTATACTAATCAAATATTTTAGTCATGGTTATCAAATATTTTATTCATTATCATCAAATTAGTACTTATTGCATTAAACAGATCAAACTGAAAGGATTGTTCATTAACATATATCACTGGTCTATAATAAAACACCTATTTTTTTAGAGAAAGAAAAAATAAAGAAGGAAATTAAGTCAGCCTGGTCAGCATGGAAGGGAGGACAAACATCGAAAGGCCCTGCCGTACGTCAAAAAATTGCTAAAAAAGCAGCATCTTCTTGGTCTGCATGGAATGCAGGATCTCAACTCCCGAATGGTTGGTCAGCATGGGGACAGGCAGCTCAGGGATCGGTAGCCAAACAAGGAAATGTCAACAATGGAATGCAGTCAGGTTGGTCAGCATGGTCAGCAGGTGCTCAGCTTCCAAAAGCTAATAAGAACAAAATGCAATCATCTTGGTCAGCATGGACAGCAGGTAATAACGCAAATTTGAACAAAGGAATTCCGTCAGGCTGGTCAGCATGGTCTGCAGGCGCTCAACTTCCAATAGCGACAAACGTTAAAAAAAGCGTTGCTCCTCAAACAAGCGTTAAGAAAACAGTGAATTCCTGGGGAGGATGGAACCCGACTTCCAACTGGAATAATTGGGGTCAGTCTTCAGATTCTTGGGGAGATTGGAAGAAATAAAATGACGATGGAAAATATCAATCATTGTTGTTCTACGTTTAATGGTCATTAGCTCTTATACTGTATTTGAATATTCACCTTACATTAAAATATTTCCATGCACTCAATTAGTATTTTCATTTTAGTTAACATAATAGCAACAACAGTTTCACATATCTGATTAACCTTAATTATGTAAATCGTTGGGATAGTGTGTGCATTTTGCGCTTTTGTGTTGGATCCCAATTTAGTTACAAATACTTAAATATAAAAATAAAAAGATGTGGTAATATAATGGCCAATGAGACGACACTCCACCAGACACTAAATTACATAGAAGTTATCAACTATATGTCACCGTACGTCCCTCAACAATGAACAACGACCATACAGCATAGCCGGCAACAATTAAATATTTATTTGAATTAGCTTTGATACGTTAGGTGCCTACCTCTTAAATGAAGTAATATATATTCTAGTATGACGTACTTATTTCGCTTTGTAAACAAAGCCGTCTTCTAATTAGCACAAAATATATTTGACACATGCGCAAAAACTTACTATTTACATTCTTGTGATTTACATTTGTATCCTAATAAAATATATACATTTTAGCTTCTTGCATAAAATTTATTATATCATGTTTTAAAAGCAACATATATTTACCCTACAATCAGTTTTTAAACTTATCATATACGAAAATGTAATGTATACATACATCAAAGGGAGGAAAAGGGAACAGCCAAACATTTGTAAGGTATTTTTGTACGCTTCGACCTACAATAATACCGATTTTGTCCTATTAGAATCGAGATAATTCCTTCGTGTCATATTCTATGCTAATTTTAACATGGATAGGCATTATAGTTGACCATATTTTACAGCTCGTTAACGCTCAGTGTAAAATATCAACAAATATAATGCCTACCCATGTTAAAATGAGCATAGAGCATGACATGAACGACTTATTTCTTAATTAAAGAATGCCATGTTAATATCAACGACTATCTATTATAGGGAAACATCAACGACTATCTATTATAGGGAAATATTGTTTGCAGTCTTGTTTACATAAATATTATCCTACACCTGTAAAAAAAAATAACACTTTGTAAATTTTATGCGTCCGAAGTGCTTTTCCTGGATTTACATTGATCAGGAACGCTCTAGCCAAATATCTGAAAGCCAAGGGTGTAAGTACCGAAAAAAGTGGAGCGCTGTATGCCCTAAAATAACAAAAAAGTCCATCTGAGGTCAACATTAAGCAACGCCTTAAACTAATTGTCTAGTAACTCCTTGATTTATCACATACTTAAAACAAAGTGATCTGCTAAAATATTTGAATATTTAGCTCACTTTGCCCAAAAGGCCATGTGAGCTTTTCTCTTCACTTGGCGTCCACTGTCCGTCGTCGTCTTCGTCGTCCGTCGTCGTTTCCTTTCTAAAATGTTCTACTCTTAAACTACTTGGTCAAATTTAATCAAACTTTGACATAATCTTAATTACGGTATCTAGTTTGCACAAATGTGTCCGATGACTCCGCATTCGAACCAACATGGCCGACGTGTCTAAAGATAGAGTATAGGAGTAAAACTCAATTTCTTGTCTACTATCGTGAAAACCTCTTTTTATACAGAAAATCTAATTTCTGGTTTCTCAGAACTCACCTACTCGTTACCATGGTAACGGGCGACAACCATAGATGGCGCGTGAACCTTCAACTTCAAGAGCCCGGCACACTCCAAAAACTATACCAATGAATAAAAATAAAGTTGAATTTGGTTGACAAAGATGTTATCTTTCCTGTAACAGCTGTTTCTTTCTTTCAATTTGCCCTTTTATAATAAAATATAACTGTAAACAGAAATGACATACAATCCAACCATGCCCACACTAAAAGTCAACTTTCTTGTCAATTTTAAAAATGTTGTTTTCATTTTAAAAACAAGAAACAGCAATTTTGGTATTAATGAGCTTTCCAAGAATAAATATGCCAAGTTTTAAAGGTATCAATTCATATTAACGGGGTGCGCCAATGCGATCTTTATAAATGAGTGATACTCAAGTCCTCTTGCGGCGACATTTAAACACTGAAATGATTCAGATCGATTATTCCCCTTTCTGGTATCAAAGTGCTGCGAAAGAAATTAACGACATTGCGATAGTTTTTTACTAGAAATAGACATATTGAAGATGTAATACAATGTTTCATTTTTAAATTTGAAGGTGTTCACGAATCTTGACAAAAATCAGGATGCATACGAAAGTCATGAGGGAAAAAAGAGGAATACTCTAACGTTATACTTTGTCATTTATTGTAAGAGCTTTCGTAACCCCATGTTCATTTCTAACTCCACATATGTGCCGATTGTAAATAATATAAACTTGGTTACTTTTTTAAATTCGATTCTCATAGGTTTTTTACTACTTTAAGATATGTTGCATTTGTTTGCAACTGTCCTAAGTCAGGAACTTGATGTTCAGAGGTTGTCGTTTGTTGATGTGGTTCATAAATGTTTCTCATTTCTCGTTTTTATATAGATTAGACCGTTGGTTTTCCCTTTGAATGGTTTTACATTAGTCATTTTTGGGGGGATTTATAGCTTGCTGTTTGGTGTGAGCCAAGGCTCTGTTTTGATGACCGTACTATGACCTATAATGTTTTATTTTTTACAAATTATGACTTAGATAGAGCGTTGTCTCCTTGGCACTCATACCACATCTTCTTATATCTAATGACCAAGGATTAGTAAGATAAAGAGAAAAACAAAATGATTCTCCTTATAAGAAGAAAAACCAACACATTTAACAAGCACTAGTGCATGCAAGTATGAAGTCCCTTCTATTTAACTCATGTTTCATCATAAATATTAATCTATCCAGCCCTGATAAAGTTTTGTTTTCGATTTGTTTTTTAAACCGGTTTTAAGTAGATAGTATGGAAAACCGTCACATGACATGTGTAAATGGATCTTGATTGAATCAATATCGTTTTAAGCTAGAATATCTAGAGCTATGTTCATTTGTTGAACATGCATCAATCATTCATTGCAGTCTTTTGAATAATAAATGTAAAAACAGGTCCATGCATTAGCCCAGAAAATAACCAGAAAAAAAATATAACACTAGGTCATGTACATGATGTAAGTAAATACAGTATGAACAAATTGTCAATTGTTATAGAAAAAAATAAAATAAGAGATTTCCTTTAAGAGATGAAACTATGTGTTTATTCAATAAAGTTTTATGTATATAAAAGCCATTACTTCTTCCAGAGTTCATTATGAATATTATTTGAATGGAATACATAATGTCTATTTCAAAAGTTTCACAAAAACTTATGATTTTTTTTTAAATATTTTTCAAATAGTTTTCTCACACTTTATACCAAAAGCATTGTATATGTCACATTAAACTGAAAATCCTTATCATAATGCATACAATATTTTCTTGTTGTTTTCCGTGGTCCATAATAAATGTAGAAATATATCATACTGCTGATTTTCATATGTTAATGTTGTACTGGAAAATTCTTTATTCCTAAACTTGTCTTTCATATCACATGTAACATGCAAAGAATATTCCTATATACATGTAAAATATTGAGAATTACAATATATATACCAGCAAGTACATGCAGTTACCAGCCTGCTAAATATGATGTTGGAATTATAATTCTCACTCAACTCACAGTTTTATGTATATATCCAAAATTAATTCGATAACTTGCATATGATGATTAATGATATGAACATTTCCTTTTACGTGTTGATCTTACAAGAAAAAAGTGCACAATCATTTCTTCTGGTGTAATTTATTTCTTTGTCTTCAATGTTCCAGAATCAGTTTTAACAGTAATGTAATCCTTTTTTTCTTGTGGTCATACTGAAAATTGTTTCATTCCAAAAGTCACATGTGACATGGCATGGGGATATTTCATACTCAGCGCGGTTATAGTTTTGTTATATGTCCTTAAGCTGTTATCTTTAAAACATTCATTGTTTGACAATTTCCTTGTGTGTGTTGATCTTCAAAAGAAACAAGTGGTAACTCTGTTCTCTGATTACTTTTTCCGATTTTAGTTTGTAAAAACTTGTATAACATCATAAACTTCAAGTTATAAAAATATGTAATCATTTAGTGGCATTTTAAAGTTATTGGTAATCATTTTATGATACAAATAGAAAACTTCAGTCAAAATTGTGTGTTCCTTAATTATTATCGAATTAAAAGTAAACTTGACGAAAAGTTCTACATTGATTTAAAAAAAACTTTTAATTGATGAATGTTTTGTAAAAGTACAATAAAGTTTGTAAGTACAACTAACTTCAGCTGATATTTACCAATCCCAATGCATTACCATTTTTTAATTAATTAATATGACTTACGTAATATTGAGTGAGTGTGACTCAATACAACAGACAACTTATATATACACCTAACCTGAGGGTCTTGATGGTGTTTACATAATAGATAATAATCCTTATGAGCAAAAAGTGCAGAATAAAGGTCAACCAAATTAAATAATACAAAATGAGTAAATAATAACAGAGAATAATTGGGTGTTAAAATACACATAAAAGAGAATAATAATCAAAATTGATAAAGAATATAGGAAATGGTATAAGAAAAGAAAAAAGAACTGAAGGACCCCCAGCAAGACTCATACATTATAATATTAATACTTACATAGTGTAGACCTCATATTTGATATTTTAGCACATACTTACAACTTCTCGTCCAATCAAATTGCTTATATTTGCCTTCTAATTTTCATAGTACATACTTTTCCCGTGTACTAAGTAACTACGCATGAATGACCACAAGGGTAAGATTTCATTGTATCGTAATCAAGATATTTAAAACAAATATTGCCACTGGCTATTTTGAAATAAAATGCTGTGTTCCAAATTAAATTAAATAGTTTGTAATTAGTTTTCACGTTGATTTTTAAATATCCTCCTATTAAAATCTTTGGATCTAAAAAATGTTTTTGACAATAGCAAATTTCTTTCATTTAAATAAAGGGTAATACATATGGTTCTTTATACCTTGATTAGAGTACAACGATATCTTAAAATTATGATAATGTATCATCCATGCAATTACTTTGTACACAAACAGTGTG